TCTTTGCGTCTGCTGCGCTTCCAATACCCGATACGTGAGCGTTGGCCGGCATCGGAGCGGAGTTATGCCCCCTTCCTCATTGTTACTCGGCACGTTGTTACAACTGAATGCATTGTTTTGTATTCTTCAAGCTGCGAGCTATATCTTTGCGGCATTACACACGCCAATGGCAGGAAATAGATCTTTTTTCCATTTTCCTAGTGAGATAATCGCAAGTGTGACGATGTTTTGAAAAGGCTTTCGCTACTTTATTATCCAATAAAGATTTCACTCATTCACGCACGCGGTTGTTTTCAATAAAAAAAAACATTAGTATTATTTTGCAGAAAATATAATCATTCATATATGTTCATGGATAGATAGATTCTTAATGAAGTTAATATCATTTGAGGGCTATTCAAAACTTAGCTCCGATATTTTTATTTATTTATTTTCTAATTTCTTGTAGTTTGTTTTGCACTAGCGTGAAATTATCTGTACTCCCAGGGTCGACTAGAAGAGAATGCTAATCAGCATTGCCTTTTGTTTAGCCTTAAGTTGGGGTGTAAACAATAAATTTTTAAATAAATAAACACCCCTCCCCTCCAATTCCGCGAAATTTTCACCGATTCATTTGCCCCGGCGCACTTTCAATTTACGCGTAGCACGTTGACCTAAATCAGTCCCGCGGAACTTAATATGTTTGACATTGTTCCATTTGTTTATCAATTACTTCTGTGGAGTTCGTTCGTGCAAAAATTATTTGCCACAGATCGGTTGTAATGCGTACAATGAAAATCATTACTATTATTATAAAGGCGAAAGTTTGTATGTATGTGTTGAAATAAAACTTTGTTTTATTCGTGTATTCTACTTTGTCATTAACCCCCTAATCAGTATTTTAATGTACCTACGACAGTAAAACTACCAACATAATATAATGAAAAGCGTTCACATATCATTCAGTCTTCGCACTATGGAGTCTGCGTTCGTGTGAATTGTCCAGCGCGGTTAGTTTTTACAAACGGAACCACACAGGAATTATCGATATTTAATCAATGCGAATGACTATGTTTTATATATTCTAGATATTCTTCGCACTAACAATGGAATGAATGGCAGCTACAATTCTCTCAAATCTTCGATTTATATAAACATTACCTTAATTGATAGACTGTTGAAAAAGTAATATGATGTTCAATGTAAACACACTGATACTGTTTTTGTGTCGTTTATTCGTAATATTCGTTTCTTGAAATAGTGTGCCGGCCACACGACGTTTGCGTTCAGCAACTTTTGTTTAACAACAATAGGATTTTCAAACTAGAGAAGACGAGAGAGATCGACATGAATATGTGACGATAACTCTCGATGGGCGCACAAAAGTTCTTAACCGATACACGGCTTCGATTATAAAGCGTGTGCCACAACAATGGGCATCATTGTTACACGGCGGCGTAGATTAAAAATTCACTCGAGGGTCCTCTTCAATACACTGTCGGTTTTTCACGGGATGATCGCGCTAATAGCTACCCGATCCGCGTCTACGGTTTCGTTCCCCGTGGAATACAAAAAGGTTGCTGGTGCCTATACCTAGACAGCTATGCGATGCTGGTGCGGATCCCGCGCGGCCGGTACCCCTTTTAATTATATCGACGTTAATCAGACTCCGCGGCGGGATTGCGCCGCGTCTAGTCGGTGCGACGTTTTCGCCATTAGCGGCCCTAGGCACATCACTCCGGGTAGCACTTGGGCTTAACGTCAGCGCGCCGAGTGGAGCGGGCGCCCGTAGACGACGCGTAAATCAGTCTAGACTTTTGCGAAATCGTCGGCTCCTATCGGTTTTTTTTCACGTTTCAGCCTCCTTTTCAGTTGCATTTAGAGTGGTTGTTGTACTGAACTATGATTATAGTTGCATTAAAATATTTGAACTGCACCGTCCTGCCAATGTAAAATTTCGTGGCTAGCTACTTCAGCGAATTTTGACACAAAATAAACACGATAAAAATGTAAAATAGAAGCATTTTATTTAATTTTATGAAGCATTAACCATATACCAGATACTGCTTAAATACTTCCTTAATATACCTACATAGTAGGTATAAGAGTTTCTAAGAGAACGATAGTTCTTCAGATTTTGTTAAAAAAAAGTGGACGTTTTAATTAATATTGAGATAATAATTTATCTGGACGGGTCACATAAATGGTCTGGGAACATATCGAATGGGGAACTTATCGGCGTTATTCATGTTCCGAATATAGGTTAAATTGAAATAATAAACTCACCATCAGCAATAGCTTTGGGTTGTATGTATACACGTACATCACGTCCACGCACAATGTAGTAGTATTTACGATAACTTGCGTTTCAGCAGCCATCCGGTTGGAGGGCCTGCAAAGTCTTTGGTTGTGAATCTGTGTGAGTACACGTGTGGTGGTCCTTGTTTAGCACTAATCGAACCACTTGCTCCGCAGCTGTCATACTGAAATGCAAAGTTAAATGCAAGGGTCGCCGCACAACACTGTTCCGCATCAAATTAGTATAGGATCACGCTGTAGTATGTAGTCTGCGTCTCCGCTGGTGCCAATGCACTCGCCGCTTGTCGTTCGCAATACGTTCTTGCCGTACGCGAAACGTCCCGTTGACGGCGTGATATCTCCCTTTTTATTGCTTAATGCGGCTATCACGCAATTGAGGCGTCAGTTGCCGGGGTCGTTGCAAAATTGACATAAGTGGCGTCGGTTCCGCGCGTTAGTCGTCGGCCTCGCTCGTTGCACGCGTCCATTTGTTAAGCCAATAGTTAAATTATAGGCAAATTATCGGCAATCTGGGAATGGGTGCAGCCGGCTGGTGTGAGAACGCCGACCGAGACCACTAGGTCCTCGGCCCCTCTGATTCCTTTCGACCAGCACTATTCGGATTTCTTTTCCACTTCCATAAGACTAAAGAGACTTAAAGAGAGAGAAAGTTAACTAAAGAGAAACTTATATGTTTTTGTGTGAGAAGGTTGCAAACGCACTCACGATGCACCCGATATTAAGCGATATCCGCCGCCCATGGACATTGCAAGACCCGTATGTGTGCAGATACGTTGGCACCTTTCAATAAAGTGGGCCCCGGCTACCTCACTCACCAGACGAAACGCAGAAGTATAGTACGTCCACTTCACGCCGGTCTTGTCTTCTGCGAAGTCGTGGTACTCACCTGCGGACGGACCTGCCCATTCTCCTCTTCTTCTCTCTCCCTTCGATCTACTATATAAGATCAATGTACTATAGGTACTATACAAGCCTCTAACAAAAATCCTTTAATAACACGCTGATTGGCATGGCGGTTCGTTTTTAAAAAACGAATTTGTGGGCACCAGAAATGTTTCACACTTATCCTTAAGTCGAAATTATTTTCATTCAGACCTCATTCTCTGGTTACTTAATTGTACCCTTTATACGGCCAACAAATCCAGTGTGAAGTATAACATGCATGTATATGCGACCCTATAGAAGCAGTACTTAAAAATTAAACCTTACATAGGATCAAGTCCGCACACTCAAAATGTGTAGTGGATGCATTATAAGCGAGCAAATAAATTGGTCGCAACGCAGTGCGTAGTTTGTTTTAGCCGCGGTTAGGGGCGCGCATAAAGGCTCTCCCTTCCTTTGCACTCTCATACTCATGTCAATAAAAGTGCCATTTTGTTTTTTTTTGCACTATTATCCAATGGAGATCATTCAATGGCCCTAATTGAAAATGATTCCGCTCAGTACCGTCGTACCAAGCTGATGAGGAGGGAAGGTATTATTATTTTTGTGTGATATATATTTCATAAGGTTTAATCACGTCTCTAGTACTACCTTACACTTGTTTATTTTGTTTGGAGGTTACATTTATTTTCAATAGCAGTTTGTACGTACGTACTGATAATAATAGGTCCATAATAAGTCCACTTACCATGTTTCACGACGTAAAAATCTATAAACAGCACCTACAAGCCTACGTCCCATTCTATCGCGAGGTAAACGTCCGCGAAGGTATAAGAATTCATCGTTGAATTTTCATCTGTCATCATATGTGCGATATCAAATCAAATTCAATAGCAAGCATCGCTTTTAAATTCTTCACGGTTTTTGTTTATAAACATGCCTGCCGTAGTTTTACTTGTGTACGAGCAGTTTGTTTGTAAAAGAATGCGAGCACTCGCACTTGCGTGTGGGTAGACTTGCTGCTTCTGGTACTATATACCGTAGCATGCTATTTTGGAAAATACAAATTCAGTGCTTTATTATCTCGCTCCCTTAGTTGTTACCGAAAGAAGGTTGAATCTTAACAGGTATACTTTGTATTAATCCATTGTACATATTGCGTTGTGAAGATATCTAACGGATAGCGAATAAAGTTTCTGGTGATGTTTTCTTCCAGCTACCTATATCAATTAGCCATATCGTATTGTCTATGTGTCCGATAAAGGGCATAAAGTAAAATAACAGCCTGGGTAAAGGCCTTTTCTTTACAGAGCATGTTACGACATGACCACCCCACTTCGGATTGGAAGACTTCAAATATCTTCGAAATATTTTTTTAATGTTATTATTTCGAAAATATGACGATAGGTGATATAAATATGACGATGTTTTCACCGCCAAGCACGTGATAATTCAGCACTTAAAATTAAAAATTTCATTGGTGCCGGCTCAAGGTTTCGAAATCAGATTAATCGAGTATATCGAATTCGAAGCGAGCGCCTGGACAATGAGCTATCACGGCTCACGTATGTAGCTATTTGCATATCTAAAATTCTATTTCTAAAAGCCGATAACTGATTATAATACCTTTCCGTTTGATGAGAAAAAAAATTATGAATCAAGAACATTTGCACGTGAAAACATCAGGTATTTACCACCTTGACCTTCTTCGTGCACCGGTAGCCACACATCGCGGAACGACGTCCCTATCGAGTACAACATCACACCTGCCTTATTCTGGCAACGGCAAGGCTGGAAAAGTTTCGATGCACTCTTTATCATTTGAGGGCTCCCAGTTGGCTCAAAGTCGTTGCGAGCGCCGTAGTTCCGCTAGTGAAAAGTGCCGTGCGGTCGCGCGTTGCGTTTTCCACGCGCCCGCCGCGGCCCTTAGCCGGGGCGAGCGCACACGGGGTGGGCACAGACTCCGCTCTGCCGCGCCTCGCTCGGCGCTCTCGCCAGTCCGCGATCGGGGAACGGCGCGGTGCGACGTCCACCGGCCGCCGCTTCCGCCTCCGCCGCCGCCTCCGCCTCCGCCTCTCACTTCCCGCTTCCGACGTAGCGCGAGTGCTATCCGATTCCGCGGGAAGTGTACGGTCGGCCCGTGTTGTTGTTTGGAGTTTTCTTAGCAATTTCTGGTTTTTTTTAAAACTATCGTACGGTCGATACCCACATCACGGTGAACGTGACCGACCGATCGACGGCAGTGGTGATTTGTGAATTCATGGAATATAATTTGACAAATTCATTCGAATCGTTCAAAAGATATTTTATTTATCCTAAGTAATATTTTAACGATATACAATCGACATCGTTTCATCAGTGTTTATGTAAAGAAATTAAAAATAGGCCGAAGAACCCGTAGTAGTAGTTATGTTTTGTTTTGTTTACAATCGTGCGACCTTCGCCACTAACGATTAGGGTAAAGACCCCTCTGATCACGCTGTAGGTATGATTGAATTTCCTCCTTATGGCACCCCGAAGGCGCGGGCGAATATTCTGGCCATGGCACAGACCGCACAAAAGAATTCCGCTCCCCGATAACAGACGCGAGACGGGAACCAACAGATTGAACAGCGAAACGTAAAAGTTGTTCAAAATTGTTTTGTATAGGCTCAATATAAATCTAACAGTAGTTTTAAAATGTGTCGATATATCTTGAAGTTGCTGGATTAAATTATTAATCGATTGTATATTTCTAAATTGGTACTCACTTTATATTTGATCTAATTAGTTCTGCATTAACATAATTATAATGATAACTCTACAATAACAATTACTTGCAATGTTATCTACGTACACTACGAAGCGTCCTCTAGTAATATACACAAATAAACAAAGCCGTCCCGTTGTCAAATCGCTTATCATTATATTATAGTACTAGTCAAAGGACCATACTAAGTTTATTGTACCTGTTGATCATAACATAAGTCTCGTAATAATAGACTCTTGTGTCGCCCCTATAATAGACATCTGCGAAATTGTATGTACCTATATCGTCCGCCCCGAAGCTCATTATGGACGGCTTACGGAGGAGCTGGGCCTTTGCCCAGCAACTCCAATTGATTGCGCTTCCCGCGCGCACCACCTCGACCGCCGCCTTGAGAAACGGCCAACGCGTGACGGCCTCGTAATGCGCATTCGGGATCGGGTCACGTTCTCTCCGCCAGCTCCCGACGCCGGGAGAGCTGACCAACGGCATTAATGGATCGGCTGCATGACTTAGCTTCTAGTGGCCGGTTTAAGCTCTTAACGGCAATTGGCCCGGTTGTGACGTCCACGTGGGAATTTACGATTTATTAGCCTATAATTATCGCTGCTCTGTGTTACATCTCTTCTTTACTGGCAATATATAAAACGTAATTCCCATATTACAATTATTACGTTGCTATAGACAAAAATACCTCTATTGTTTGGTATGATTCTATATGTAATCTGAGGTATTTGGTTAACAATAAGTTTTTGAAGTCATTATGAATCACAGATTTGAGGGGATATATTTAAGTATTTTGTATATTATAATTTAAATAATACATAGCGATTTTATTATAATTATTTATGTGTAAAATAAATAAGTAACGGAAAATATTTTAAATAAAATTATTAGTTATTTTAAATTATGTTTTCTATAAGACATTTGTCAAAGAGACGCAAGCAACAAAAACAGTAAAAAAAAAAGTAAATTATTGCTATAAATTATTTGTGAAAACTGCCGTAAATTTCGTAATCGCCTTAGGTATATTCTTTCCTTCATTAATAAAACGGCATGGTTTCAAAACAGGAGTATTTTTAAGCATTGTTGAGACCCTTGCGGTCACTTTCTTCTGCAATTGGAATACTTGAGAGGTATGCTGCTGTTCACAGTAGCATCCACCAATTGCTTATTCGCTCTCTCTTGACTTGCCTCGGACAATATTTGCCCCGCGAAGTGCTTTGTACGTGTTACGATGCTAACTTGACGTGATTGGACACAACTTCCAATAGTCTATGTAGTTCGTTGCTTGCGAATTGTAACTTCGCTTTGCTACACCGAATTGGGCGAGCTTTAAAATCGCACCGCGAAACATTTCATTTCTCAAGTACAATGATGACATCACATTAATTGAAACCAAAGTAATAGATTATGTTAGAGATGAATTATATGTTCTTTGTAAGGTGTTGTATGCAGTAAAGGATGGACACTAGATGGTGCCAAGCATTGATTGAAATGCAATAGAAAGAAATTTTTTCCGTGACGTCATCGGCCGCTCAGCTTAGTTGTTAACGCGTCTGGGCGCGAAACCAGAAGACGCACGCTCGAATCCCGCAGAGCCGAAAGTTTTAGTTCAACTATCTACAATTTAAAGATAAAATTACTTATATATCTATCCTACTGGCAAGGTTATTTTCTAGAGATGTATATAACTATAGAGTTGGCGGGAAGCCGGCAACAATGGCTGATGGGTCGCGGCGAGCGATTTAAATTGTCTCACAATCACCGCTTCCGGTGTGCTCCTACGTTTAAGGACAAGCGAGCTTCGGCGGATCGGGCTCGTTGGCTCCCACGCGCCCCCCTCCCGGCCTGGCCTTATCATTCTCGCGTACCACATACACAAATACAGCCTAGACATTGCTGCTATCGCAACGAGATCTCGATCTTCCTTCAAATTATACTACTCCGTTATTCCCACTATGAATATGTTATGGATCATATTAAAATATTCATTAAGTAATTACTCGATTGCAATTATATTTTTTGACACGATATCTCGTCTAGAAATTAACTCCTCTCAAAGGAGGGTTCAAAACCGATAAAGCTTTTTGAAGCATATGATTTTTTGTCTCGTGTAATCGAAGTCAGACTACAGCGCCGCAATGGCTGGCAGTCAACATGTTGGCTACCTAAACCCTTGCGTCACCCGTGCAATCATAACTAACTTAACAATGGCACGTAAGTCAAACACGAGTCCACGTCAAGTACGGCCACACGTTCCCTGATATACTAATCAACTCCATTTTAACAATCACATCGCAAAACATCCCCAAACTGCACTGCCTCGGAATTATGTTTGATCATTGACGCAATCCGCCATCGCGTATGCGAGATATGTGGAAATTGAGGCGAGCTGCATGAGTTCGCGACCGCGCCGCGTAGGTATCGCACGAAGATCTTCCTATATCCGAACGTTGTTAGTACGTGATACCTGTAACGGCGGCTAATAATTATTCCCAGCCGCACACGAATCGCTGCCGGCTTTTCTGTTTGAAGGGCCCTCGCAGCCCCGCGCCACTCGGAGCCCCCTTGTCCTTCAGGCATCGGCGGGCGGCCTTTGCCATTTTTAATAACGACGCATTTTTAATAACGAACTAGTTCTTCGCTAGCGCAATGTCAATTGAATTTCACGCGATTTTAGGTAATTAGATCGTCTACAAGGCGAAGAGTGAAGAGATTTCACTCTTCCTTTAGTACCTAATGTTATATACCCAACATGTAGATGAGACGGTTGTCGAGCATTATCTTGTACTTGATAACTATGAGACATGATACGGTTACAAGGAGACATGTCTTGGTTAATGATAGGGCCTTCGGTAATTGTCCGACGCATGGTCGTCCCTCTGAGCACCACTGATGAATGGCGGCGCTGTGCTCGGCCACTCTCCGCGACATATGGCGAGATAACGAGCCGAGCCCCTTTCCAATAGGGACACACACTAAATAGCCCACGCTTTTATGTTCTAAACATTCACATCGTTTGCTTCAAGACAAACTATTAATATGCAATTAATTCATTTCGTAAGACGTTTCATGTTTATCACTTTAAAACATAACGATTACGTTACATACATATTAATTTTTAGCGTGTTAAAAATCAAAGTTATTTGTATCGTAGATAATCCTTAGTTATCCCTATAGAAATAGAGAAATCATAAAGTCTTTGTGGACCTGATGGTTTTAATAAATTTTCTTCGGATTGAGTATTAGTTGAAGTATATTGAGTAGAAGTAGCGTCTTTTCGACTATTCACTCCTTTTAAATTAAGAATTATGAAATTGTGTCTATTAACATTTCTTTCATTAATGTTTACAATTATACTTGCTAATGCTCGGCACTCGTTGCAGTGACTCTATAATTATTAATTCACTTTAGACTGTTTAGTTTTCTCAGTATATTGCGAAAGGCTTTCCAATTGGACTCTCTCTAAATGAAGACAATACTAGCTACGATTATGTACTTGTATAACGTAGCTTAATCGTTTAGCGTACGGAATTCATACTTGCATATAATCTTGCAAATATCTCTTCCACTTGTATAGCGTTTCGTGTGCCATGTGCCGTTGCCGTGCGTATCGCATAGGTAATTTTTAAATACGACTCTTGTTCAATTAGCAATGCGGAACGGACTTCTCTCGCGAGGCATTATTGTGTTCGCTTCTTAGAGGAGAAAGCACCGATAATGTCTATTGTCATGTGCCACTTGAATGGAAATAGAAAAACAAACGTCTGCGTTCTTCACACCGAGCACGTTGCCTACTGCATAGTGTGCTGTATCAGATTTATAAGCAGCGCAACTCCGCTTCCGATCAATTCCGCTTCTCTTCTTACTCGTGGTTTTTTTTTTCTACTATTTGTTTCTTCTACTTATTAGCGAACCCGTCCTTATAGTGAAGCGAATGTTTAGAAGGAAATAAATATATGTTGCGAAGCGTGTCCGTGGACTCCCGAATTGTGAATTTTTCACACGATAATATTACATTGGTTATATCCGCTGTTTTGTAATGAAATGTAGAAAGGTCGTTTATTGAATCTTCAACCAAGCAATAAATAAAAGCACATACAATATTTGGGCATTAGGGCATCTTCTGCGTTTTGGGTCTCTTGTGAGTTTAAATAAGTACAGTGTAGAGTACATCTGCAAATAGCATAATCAAGGCACCATAGCCCGCCACGCAGCTCCATTATTATCTTTCCTTAGATACGCAGATTTGGTATCGATGTTTTCTTCCACCTTCATCAAATCAAAATCTAACAATACCATCCGTAGTGGGGCCGTGCTCCGATATCCTCTGTACAGAGGAGGCCTTTACCCAGCAGCGGGATATTTTTGGCTATTACTTTACTTTTCTTTTCTTTTATTAATAATTCACCTCATCCAAGTGGAGTTCAAAAATGTTGAATAGAGGCAAGCTAATGAACATTTTTGAACGCAATTTATCCTCCATTTGCATGCGCCATTTCGCGTGTGTGGCATTGCCACCGGCGCTGCCGCCGCCTCTTCTTCGCTGGCACGCGACAAATCGTGGCGTTGGAAAGTCCGAGCATCGCGCTCCTGCAATGCTCAGATAACCTTATGCTAATTTGGTTTCATTCCGTTTTATACCTCACAAGATTGTTTGTAACCATCGCGGTGCATAGACGTCCATTATCATATATCATTAGGTTATATTGAGAATCAATATGTTTTTACGCTTTATGCTTTACTAACTACTTTGTTAATTACTTGTCACATCTTGTTTAATTTTTAGTTTTTATCTGTGGTAGGACCATGCATGGATGGGCAGGTCCGTCCGGGTAAGTACCACGATCTCAAAGAAGACCGGCGTAAAGTAGTGTTACACTTCTGCTTTTCGTCTGGTGATCACTTACCAGACGAAAAGCAGAGGTAGCCGGAGCCTGCTTTATTTGTTGGCAACGCATTTGCAACCCTTTGGTGTTGCAGATTGCAATGGGCGGCGATCATCACTTAACATCAGGTGAACGGAGAACTGCCAGCTAGTTTGAAAAAAAAAATAAAACGGTATTATATTTGACCGCAATCTTTTGGAATTAAATTTTGAAAATGCTCCGCATTCATAATGATCCTGAATTAATTAAAAAAATTACTTCGAACAGCACTCTGAAAAATTAGCGCAAACGTTAAAACGGTACTTCATCCTTATTTACTAGTGAATCGCCTTGTTCCGGTGTGAAAAACCGCGTTACCTTTGCAAAGCACTTCCAGTGATCTTGCTTTTGCTTTGGCCCTGGTCTTAATGACTCATGAAAAGTTGACGTTTAAATGGAAATATCTGCACCTAGCGAATTTAGTAAACCGTGGAAGTAAGTGAGACAAACATATTTATTTGTATTGATTTAGGCAATTTTATAATGATTAAATATTTTAATATTATTATTTAATGCTTACGTAAGTGTTCAACGGCAAATCTTTGTTGAATTTATAATTAACTAGCTGTGCCCGCGACTTCGTCCTAGTGGATTTTAAAATAAAAAAAAATCTAAAATAAGAGTAAGTCTCTCCTAAGACTCCTTATTACATCAGCTACCTGCCAGTGAAAGTCCCGCCCAAATCGGACCGATTTCGACGGAACTTAGACTTTCAGAGCCGTTTCAGAGATTAGTCGGAACAAACGGACAAACAGACAGACAGACAGACATAAATTGTAGTAAATGTCATTTTAGTGTATGTACCATATGTATTTAATAGAAAGCGGTTATTTTAATATTACAAACAGACACTCCAATTTTATTTATCTTTATAGATTACAGCAAATATCGGTATGTAACGGGCTATATTTGCAAATCTTTTATCATTTCAAAACTGTGGTTGACCACAGCGGTAAGGCGAAAGCGATGTTCGGAAACCCATTAGTTCAGTGTTTCGGTGGATCCTGAACGAAATTTCAAGATCATGTGATAATTTCATGATCATGCCCCCATTATTCGTCCGCATTGTGCTGTGTTAGTGAAATATATACCCCGTGGCAAAACAGCACAAATTAAGAAGACTAGATAGACAAAGTAAGATTTACTTGTACGATGAATGCACGTAGCATTTTAAGAAAAGTGAGAAAGGTTCATAAGTATTCAATTCCGTCAATGTAGTCAAAAATAATTTTTTTTGTTAAAATTGGACAGCCAGAATGAGCAACGAGGTCATTTTACAGGCAAAATAAAACCTCGTCAAGTGATATCTATCTACTGCTGTGCTGTCTATATGTATGTATGTCATCTAAGCAAAAGTTACTCTAAATTAAGTCGACTGAGTCGGCACATAGCGTAGAAGAGCGAAGTGGAGAGTCCTCGCGGGCGACAAGTGGCGCATAGTTCTATAAAGGTGTATGTATGACATTCAAGAGAGTCACGATGAGTCGGCATCTGGTAGAATTTAAGATCGTTAACTTTGCTTAGACTGCTGTGTCTATTTTATAGATCAATTTGTAGGGTGAAGTTTAAGAGTTTATTAGGCAAATATCTTGAAACCATAACATATACACATATTGTAAACATTTAATTACTGTATTACCATGAGTACTTTTTATTTACGAAATTTTGAGTAAAACAAATAAAAAAAAAATGAATAACATGAAATGAAACAGATCTGCGTTTCCGTGTTTTCCGTATACCCGTTGATATGCATTTGCCCGTAGAGCGTGTCGCAAAGGGCCGTGTTATTTGTTTTGCAGCGAAGATCCGTTGCTCGCGTTTTGATTACGCACCCATGCACCGGGCGTGCACAAAGGGTGAATGAATACTTTTGCGTTCCAACCGTCGGGTCCACTCGCTGGCGTTGGTATGGCCCTCCTCCTCCCCTAGCTACCGCCTCTGTGTGCGTGCACCAGCACTTATCTCTTTTGTATTATTTCGACGTTAAGCATATTCGCGCACATGCTGTTTCATACATATTTTTTAATATTCCTCCCATCCTGCGATGCTTTATATAGCGATTACGAAAAAAGCACAAATGCCATCGCTTTGTTCTTATCATCGTTATTTTGTAATGCATTGTCGAGTCTTAATATCATTCTCCCTACTCCTCATTTTCAAATAGCGAGCAACCATTATGGACTCAAAATTTTTATTATCAACACACGCTAAAATGACGTTGTGATGAACGCTTCGCTAAAATTGTGCGAAATGTCTAAAGTAATGATAGCAGTGGCTCTGGATCTCAGCTGGGCCGAAATGTTTGTTTGAATCATTGTTTTTTCGTAAACCGGAAGTGAGAGAAGTGTCACTTGATCCTTAAGAGCGGGAGTCCGTCTCCAACAGCGGATATAAAACGTCGTACCGTAATAAAATAGCGGCGAGGCCTCCACATGCGGCCGAGCGACTCCGATCGCGTTTACGCGCTTGAAGCCCGTAAAACGGTCCTGTCAGAGCTCGACCGCCGCTCTATCTGTTGCACTGAGAGCTCTCCCTTCACATTAATCGGCGATTCGTTCTCCGTCGGATCAATAAGGCCCGTCTGTTCGCTCTTTAGCTCGCATTAACAACCTCACAATCGAGTCGGACAACGTGACAATCATAAAATCAACTCTTTACTCAATGCTTCGTCAACGGCCAAATAAAATCATTACGTATGACATTACGTAGGTAAACTAAATAGGTAGTTTAATGCTAAATATTTGAAAGTCAACATTATAATAATAAAAAGATTTGCAGGATCTTCATACTCTCGTTTATAAAAACACCTGTACTAAATGTGCCGCCCGTGGAAATACTAACGTAGTTAAGTGTAACTGACTTCACTCAAGCCAGCACTTTGCAGCGTCGCTTCGTGAGACGTTTTAATATAGTTCTATAATGCTTCTACACATCAATATAATGCACATAGAATTTACTCTAAAAGTGCACTGGATTTTAATAATTATTTTCAGTGGACATGACTACGATGAAATTCAGGCTTACCTAGTTGCAGTAAATTATGAAAGAGAAGCACTTCAGTGTATTCAAATTCTTCCCTCCCGCATAACAGTACGAACCCATCGAAAGATTTTTTTTCTAAGTGCTCGAGTTTTTTTTACATCGCTGCTGTGCGTATGGTATTGGATGAATTAGCAATCCAGGGTTCTTCAAAGCCGGACGCGGTACGCCTCGCGTGTTTGTTCGTGATGCCAAAGCCGCTTGCCAGTGCAAAGGTCACCCCTCGACATGCGCTCTCCACCACTTTCAGGCGCAACGGGTGGAAGCGCTCGGACCCCGTGGGGTGGCCTCGTGGGCCTGCACAGATATAATAAACATTCAAATACAAACAGGACTTTTGCTACGAGCTATCATTGTGGTACTGGGCACTCGGCGCCCCCACTTACAATGCTATAAAGGTATCCAATTAGCGGCCATTATCAGATTCATTTACATTTAACGGACGTGCGTATTTATTTGAATTCGTTGCGATAATTGTGTTGCGAGTTTCGACATGTGTCAATGTTAAAAACGTAAGCTAAAACATTTTAGTTAACCGTGGCAAGTATCAGTATGTGGAAACAGTACCGCTCCCAAATTTAATTTACCGTTTTAGGAATAATTTTAAAGATATATGGTCAATGTGAAAAAGCGACGTCCTAATCCGATGTACGCCTTACTAGCGCCATCGTTATGTATGTGTATCTGAGCACATATTGTGAAAACAGCACCTAAATAGCAATGATGTTTGAGTACTATAACATTGTCGGACCGACGCTGTTGCGACGTGTGGTTGTTGCGGTCGCCGCCGTGGGTTTCTAAGTGCTGTCACCGTTGGCGTCGCTGGCGCGATGCCGCCGCGGCAATTAGCATCGCGGGCACTCTGTATGCGCGCGGCTCGGCGGCTGGGCGGCGGCGCGACAACACGATGTCGTTGTTATGCGCCGGCCGACGGGCGCGGGCGTCGCTCGTACGGCGCCGCGGCGAGCGACCCACCCCGACGCCATGGGGGCCCCCATTTGATAATTATCTAAACTTTCTTGAGACGTTATTTACGTCTTATTATTACGTATTTGCTAATTGTTTGTGTTGGAACTATGTAAAACGCCCCCCGCCGCCGCTGCTGCATTCATTTACACGTGTATCAATACGAGGTCTCACGTGGCCCGTTGGCGCTTAACAACTATAATTAATAAGTACGGCAGAATGTGATTTCAATGGAAGCGCGATTAGTGGTGATTTGCAATTTGTGTTTAATGTTTGCCTTTGTTAACCCTCATCGGCTCGTCTGTTTGCCTGTAATTAGTCTTTAGACAAATATTCTGCGTGTTCACAAATTACTATTTGAACACAAAATATTTGTTGGCCTTCCCGTGACGTCAAATGTGGTAAACGTATTGAGTCCTGATGTTGGTTTAGCGATAACGACGCATCATCGTGATTTTCGAGTTGGGGTCTCTAACGGCGGCCTATAATTTATTAAATTATAGATATCCTTAATACAACTGCTTCAATCAACAGATAACTTCTGAATAGGCCGTAGCACGTTCCAGAGGAACAGTCTTTTTGCACTTTTGTGATGTGCTTATTATCATTTAGGCCACCATTCTACAATGAAACCTAATTCTAATTGAAATCTGTAAACTAGTTTCATTTAATATGTACAATATTCGCGTAAAATCAAGAAGTCAATATAATTGTAATTGAGTTTAAAATCTCAGTAGCAAGTCTGTTATAACCTTGGTCAATACAGCAAGTCGGGCGATAGAATTACCTCTTTGTACATATAATACGAAGCAGGTAACAAATGGGCTTTTTACTGTTATTGACATGATCCTCTATATATTTTTGAAGTTGTACATGTTTTGGCGCGTTTGGAAAAAGTATGAGATTAAAATTTTAATGATGCCCTGTGCGCACACTGACCGCGACACCCAAAAAGCGACATGTTGGAGTTAATTAAACCGTTATCAATTGCAATTGATGTCTTTTTCACAAACAAAGAGTACTGACACAAAGAAGTATAAATTCTTACGTGCGTACACAAGTACACACCACATACTCTTTTTTGAAAAGCTAAATTTTTAGGAGTGTTAATGTACGTTGCTACTTCATAGATCAATGCGTGCCATCTATGCCGTTCAATTATTACCGCTTACCTTAGACGGCAAACTTACAATAACTTTAATTCCTTGCCAAATAAAATTACGTAGAGTGAGCCAAAATTGCTTTTTGATAGTCAACTAACTTTTTGTGTTGTCATGAAAAAGTTTGTTAAAACTGTGCTAAAAGTCTAGTCTCTAAATTAATAGTGAAACTATCTGGGTTTCTTTTCTAATTTGTTTTTTTTTTAAATAAAAAATATCGTTCGACATAGAATGTAAAGGATGAAGTTTTGATGCATCACGTAGGTAGTTTAATCTTTGTTTTGTTTGTCGTTGCATTTATGCTGTGGGTTGTATGTGGCCTGTATTTGTATCGGATATTGCACAATTTTGGTAGTCTCAATTGTTGTTGTCGCGTCAACTTAACAGCAGGTCTTAGTGTTGTGCAAACAATGACGGGATGTTGCGTCCAGTTTACGTGATATTGTGGCCCACAAGTTGGAATTAGGCGTCCTTCAATACCTTCCTTATGTTAAATCATTATAAATGTAATAATTTTGACGAAACTTTTATTGAGGTCATTAAATTTTCTCAAAATCATTAATCCAGAAATCTCCCTAAACTATTAATTAGTTTTAAATAGTTTTAAGTCAGTTTATTTTGAAACTAAATTATTTATGTTGTACTATTTATTTTTAATAAAATTTGTTGCGTTTATGATTTTCGAATTTGTTTATGATTTGTGGAAATTGTTGTAAAGAAAGTCGTCGGATACAAGGTATTTTTCATAACTTTCTCACACTTTCTATGTGCAACATTGTGTAACAAAACAATTTAATGTGGAATTCCACAGTGGATGATGGCACCCATTATTAAACGTAATTGGGCATTAGTTACACTTTGCTTTTAAAATAAATAAATATTAATTTTTTTAAAACTAAAAAATCACGAGGTTTGAGAAGATAGAAAATCAAACGTCCTTCAGCTCGTAGTTTCGCCGTTTTGTAAATGCGATAAGTTAGCCGATGTTCCATCGACACACGTTGCGTTTGTCAATGAGCCGGAGCGATGCTCAGCGATGCGCTCTCGAGTTAAGCACGCGCTCGGCCAGTTATGCATCCGCGCTACGAAGTCCGCGTAAGAGATCCACTAACCAAGCGTAACATAACAGTAGGAGCACCGCGCCAGTGGGTCGCTGTTGGCGCTCAAACACCGTCCGAGCGATTGCCCGCCGATTCGGTCGCACGGTCGTAACGTAAACAAATTCCATAGCTGGTGAATGCCACGGCTTGCTCTCGCGGTGGCGGACGGAGATTTTTTAGCGAGTGGTAGTGCGCGTTGCGGTGAAATGGACATTTTCTCGTAAAATGCTCAAGTATCACCGGCGCTCGCACAGGCACAAGTCGCCCGTGCGGTGTCTGCGATGGAGGTACGGCTGTTTTGTTAAACCCGTGATATTTAATCTTCGAAATTAGAAACTGTCTACACGATAATAATCTTTAGAAAATTGACTCGTCGTATATTTTCTAATTAGCTGGCGTGAAGCAAGTTGCTGTGAGCCTTCGCCTTCCCTGTATAGTTTTCCATGGACTCATCGTGAAGCGTTCAAATGAAAGGCTTTCGCCTGTCGCGCTACGGATGATGTATAAAAGTGGGTCAGGATTAATTATCCGCAACTGCTGCATTGCCAGCAACAGCACCGGGCTCGTTAGTGGAGTGAATTAAAGTTTTCAGTTTGTTTTGATTAATGTGACACTATCGCTAGCCGACTTATTGTGCCTATTAAGCATTATGATTGTCTCTCACAATTTTTATAAGAATATCAATCCAAGCTCTATAGCTCTATCTATTAGAGCTATTCGTATTTTCTGGATAAAGACACAAGACAAGATGAATTTAGTGAATTATTGTCACGGGATGCGTCTTGCGTGTCTGCAGGTCTTCGGGCGACTCGGATGCGGCGAGCACGTCCGCCGTGGAGGCGACAGTAGAGCGGCTGCGGGGCACCCGGGGCGCCCTCGAGGAGCTCTGGTCCGACCGGGAGCGCCGCCTCGAGCTCACGCTGCAGCTCCGCCACTTCGAAAGGGATGCCCTCGAGGTAAGCACTTCAGGTTATGTGACAGGTGGACCCTCTCCTCCAAAAAAAAATTATGATTAATGTAACGTTTAGATTTGGAAGTGCAGCCATAGCATTAAGTATAGTAATATGAAATGTTTAATTTTTCTATAATGTTTTATACGTTTCACCTAATCATCGTCTTGTTAAACATTCTTACGGCCAGTTTGATTTCCGCTATGTTTGTTGCTTGTTTCCGCAACACGCGAGGGAGAGTGCCGATCGTGTACATTTTTAGTGGATTAATTAAAATTTTTCAATTATCTTCGTCCATTAAAAAGTTATATAGTAACTGGATTTTTTAAATGTGAAAATTTAGCTAGCGAGCAAGCTTGTTACCCAATGTTAAGCGATTACTAACGCTCATGGACATCTACAGCGAAACGAAACGCGAAAGTATGGTTTTTAGACTTCACGGCGATCTTTTGTGAAGGTATCAGGGATACTTCCACGTACGAGCCTGCCCATTCGTGCGACGTCAGAAGCTGTTGGGCGGCCCTACCGCGGAGTCCCTACCGATGCAATGATCAAAGGATTTTTTGAATTGGGCATCTTTGAATGGTGTTTTTAGTATACTTGTAGATTAAGTGTAGCACAATCAAATTTGTGTTGACTAGTAGAGAATGCCAATAGGCACATTGCAAGCAATCCGTCGCAACGTTGGCACGTCACCAAACACGGCCGCACCCGCGCCCCCTATGGCAATTCGTTGCAATCGAACATTCCGTGTTGCAGCGAATGACATCATTGCGCGCATCGCCTATGGCGCATCTCATTACAATCGAATACGATTATTAAAACAGGTTGTTGTTGAAATTTGTCATTATAATGGGCGATGCACAATTGACGTAGTATGTTTAGCGTGTTTCGAGTTCCATTCATGAAGCGGCTTAATATTTTTCGCATTGTTCAGTGTACAATTTAAAATATTTTTCTAAAACACATGTGATTGTTTTGAACAATAAACGTTACTAGTTTTCGCCAGTGTTCTAAAACAGTACAATGAGTACAATTGAAAATATTCCAAAAATTCGGAATATTTTAGGTTAGTTAAAATTATAAACCATATCGGCCATTCGGTCGAGAATCATTAATAATGTGTGCCACAATATCCTCAGAGTTGTACGGAGATATTATTGGACAACGGGTCCCTGATAGCTCCCACATACGTCGAGATCGTAAATGTCATTGCTTCGCCATTCTTAGCGAGTTTGGACGCGTGTTTATCTGGTCAAGTGCGTATATCCAGCTCCAGCTACGGGTGCCTATTAACAGGGTTAAGAAATTTATTAAAAAAAACTTTATAAAAATGGTTATTATAATACAATTGAATACATTAATGACAATAACCCCAGGGAATGAGTTGATCGCTCCCAAGCTATTTCTAAAAGGAAAAAAATCAGTATGTGTAATATTTAAATTTTTTTAAGAAAAAAAAATGAAATACAAAAAGGAGGATACCTACCGAGTTTATTTCGCCTGTTTCTTCTCCGTTAGAAGAACCTTATTACGAAACGATGGTAGATTAAAAAAATGATGACTAATCGATATATGGAATGTATGTTTCTTATGTCGATGAATAAATGATTTTGATTTTTTTCATACGAGTTGAAGAAGGAAGGAAGATTAAAATCGTATTAAAATGTTGCTTTAGAGCCACTGTCTTCTTAGTGACGTTAAGCGGTCGTGAAGTATTAAAACATATACTTAAACGTTTTTTTGTGTTTTTTTCATTCAAATTAATGGTGTGAAATCAATTTTAGATTTTTAAAACAACTATCACGGTTCTTTTCTGGCGATGCTTTATTTTATTTCGACGATAAAATTATTGGAAATGGCTTACATTATTATTGTAAGTTATTCGTCCAACAAATTCATTGGGTACATCAGTGCTTTCGTCGTGAATACAGAAATGTGTTATAGAGTTGCTGTCTTGTGAAACGACGTTCCTGCGTTTTCCATCACAATGGAATACCTTATTGATCGTCATCCGTGACTTAAGCGTGGTGTCGATAAGAAACTGCATTTAAATATTCTTTCTACAGCAGGCCGTTCAACGTGCATAAGAAAAGTAAAGTACCATTACCCACTGCTGGGCAAGGGTCCCCTCTGATTGAGGGTATTAGGGCGTAGTCCAAATCGCAATCCCACCACGCGTTGGCGGACTTCTTTGAAATATTTGTCATTCATTATTTCGGAAATGTGCAGGCTCCGTCGCGATGTTATTTCACTGCTGAACGCGATAATTCAACACTTATAATTTGGAATTAATAACTAAAAGGCTGACGACAACGGAATGTGAACCCGGGTTGCTTGGGCCATATTGCATTAAAAGCTAAAGCACGGATATTGAGCTATCACATTTCCACTATACTTATGTTTTTTTGAGGTCAAAGATCATAAATCTTATGCAACTCCAACGAATTGTGTTTGACAAATGATTGGTGGGTCATTAAAAACATAAGAAAACAGGTTGAAAATATGATAGCTGTTTCTATTAACAGGGCGTAGATAGCATTTGAAATCATGAAGCACCATGGTAGGGCGCCGCCTAACGTTTCAATGTTCTCGATGGGCAAATGACCCTGTCGCCATATAATCACACACAAACTCCATATAATCAGTCACAACTCCGTCCTGCTAAATGCACGGTGGTCGCACTGAGTGGTCGTTGTGTGGCGCAGGTGTCCTCGAGGCTGGAGCTATGGGGCGACGAGCTGCAGCGTACGGAGCCGCCGCGCGACCCTCAACAGGCCGAGCAGGCCCTCGCCGCCCACAACGAGAGCGTCGCCCGCATGCAGCACGCCACCTTCCAGGTACCTTCGCCACCATGTGTTTACCATATGTCTAACTATAAACCTTCCGCTGGGATCACTCTTATCTATTGCTGGAAACTGCATCATAATCCGTTACGTAGTTTAAAAGATCTAACGGTACACAACGGGAGCGACTTTGTTTTATGCTATGTAAACATGTTAATGTGTTACACTGGCGGCTCGCCCGGCTTCGCACGGGTGTACATTTGTTTATAATATAGCCTATGTTGATCAGGGATAATGTAGCATTCTAATGGTTAAAACTACTGGTGAGTTTTTGAATCTCTCCGGTAATTGTTTGAGTTTATATGTTACAAACATACAAATATACAAATCAATAATATTAGTGATGACGTGATGATAGATATATCCAAAAGCAAACTGATATACCCAGGTTATCGAAGACAGTATTTCTCTCAGCACCTAAATAACTGCCACTAATCGCCGCATCCGATCGAGTGTATAGCAGGTTTTAGTGACTCATTATAGTTATTGAAAGAGGTAACATTAAGTGATCATATTGCAGCGTATATTATTTATAGCAAGGTTCCTTAGAATTGGATAGCGAAGGTTGCGCACGTTGCAGGTGGTGCAGCAGGGCCAGGAGTTGGCCAGCGCGATCGCGGAGGCGTCGGAGGTGATGGCGCCCGGCGCCAGCGAGGGCTCGGAGGCGGCGCCGCCCGACGCCCAGGCGCGGGTCCAGCTCCTCCTCGAATTCCTCCACGACCGCCAGCTCGATCTCGAGGAGCTCGCAGAGGAGAGGCGCGCTCGCTTCGAGCAATGCGTCCAGCTAGGTGGGGTCACGGGATTCTTTTGTTGCATGCTAGAAAAATGAATTAAAGTCAAAGACATATAGAATTCAGTTGATAAAGTGATAGGTTTTGTAGGCGACAATATTTATGCACACATGGCCATAATTAGAGAAGAATTCTATCCTAAGCAATGTAATAATTCATAATCTGGTCCAAAAGAGCGGTTTTCATAAAATCATACAGCTTCTATAATTATTCTGTGTTGAAAAAGTTCATGTTCGGGCGCTCATTTGATTTGTGCTCACAGCTTTCGCACGCTCCGCCCGCAGGCCAGTTCCAGAAGGACGCCGCGCAGGTGGTCAGCTGGATACGGAACGGCGAGGCGATGCTGGCCGCCTCCTTCTCCATCCCCGGCACGCTCTCCGAGGCGGAGCAGCTGAAGCGCGAGCACGACCAGTTCCAGGTGGCCGTGGAGAAGACGCACGCGAGCGCCGTCCAGGTCAAGTACAGGGCGGACGCACTGCGCGCCGCCAACCACTACGAGCCGCACACGATAAGGTATTATTATACAGTATATACAATATGTCCCATTTGTGTTTTTTTGTTGCGTGTGCACAACCCTTTACTGATCAAACGTAAAAAAATACAAATCCTCGAAATATGGAGCAAACATTTTTTATGTGAGAAGGTGATAACCGCCGCCTATTGACATTTGCTATACCCGTAGGGTTGCAGACGCGTTGCCACCACTCAGCAAGACACCAGAAGTTTAACACTTCCACTTCACGCCGGTCTTCTGTGAGGTCTTAGTTCTTACCCGAACAGTTTTGCCTGGCTGTATCACACTGGTTTAATACAAAAAATCAAACTTTGTAAAGCGATAAATGATTTGGACGTCCACGAGACTTTGGTTCGGGTCTAAATTGAGTGAAACACTTGCGGAATTTCATTACCAACATCATATTAACGTTATCTGGGCATAAAAAAAAATTAATTTCCGATATACGTTTTCTCATCAGTGGGCAACACCAGTTATGTCCATATTTCACCGTGCTTTTTTATTCGGTAGTTTAAAAAATAAATTTTTTTATAACGATTCTAAAAAAACACATTATTTGTAAACCCAATCTGCTGTTACGCTAGTACTGAACCTGTATGATTGTTAGAGTCCAAATAAAACTTGTGGAACGCTAACATAAGAAATTTTTATTGTAATAGAAAATTACAATTATTTAATTAGACTTGTCTTCCGTTCCTCAGTTGTCAGTGTGCCGGTGTTGCCATAGACAAAATTATACAATATTTATTAAGGCGTTTATAATGTGTTTTTTCTCTTTTGTGCAAAGTATTGTACAATGATCACATCGTTTAAAAACATATTGTTTTAACATACATAGTACGAGTTAAAGATACCCGTTGCGAATGAATACCTGTTTCTCGAATCTGTCTCAAAGAGTTTTACGTAAACAGCGATTATCGAGTTACTCTATAGCGGCATTTAAATACGCGACATAGTTAAACGTCGATTGCTGTAATTATCATGGTATGCAGGTCGAATTTGTACAGTGCAGATCTTGAGAAATTGTACTTTTATGGTGATAATAAATATTCTTATCGTGATGTTAATACTATATTAGACGATATCATTTAAAAAAACACCTTTTATCTGAGAAAAAACATAAACGGGGACGGTATGCTTGACCATTCGTGCTACCAGTTATTTTTTTTTGTACATTTTTTATTATTGTTTCATGTTTCTTTTGATTTAATAACATCATAAGTTTTTGTTACTTTTTATAAGATTTTTATGGTAATCTTTTGTTCTTTTCTTTCTTTTTTCTCGTTTCTCGCACTAAAACCGTACCATTAACTGAAAAGTAAGCACATGCCTGATGCACGCACATGTATGGATTGGTGGATACATTTCCGATCCTAATTAACGTTCCTATTTTTGTTGTTTTTTGAGTTTTTATTTTATTATAATTTTAGTTTCTTACTTTTGTTTTTGGATAAATATATTGTTTTGTTTTTTTGGACTCGGGACTGTATTCCCCAATTTTTGGTCATTACTAAAAATTTGCGGCTACAGCAAATAATGAACACTTTACAAGTTACAACAAATTTTATTATTGTTACGACGAATCAAAAAATAAATGTCATTAAAAATGATTATTGTAGACTATGAATGTGTACCATTATTGATTTTAATATATGCTGGTGCTGGTATGTTTACTGTCACTACATTTATTTCTTGACTTTCGACATTATTTTAAAACATATCTCCTCGAGGATAATCGTCCCGAGTGTAATGGGTTTTTGTAGGCACACTATGTGTCTCGATGAAGAATGTGTCATGAGTAGTACAATCGATGAGCGGTTGCGATTGCAACCAACCGCAACACTCGCGCTCCGCAGGGAGATATCGGAGGAGGTGACTGAGCGCTGGCAGCGGCTGGTGACCTGTGCCGAGGAGCGTCACAAGCTGGTCACCGCCTCGCTGAACTTCTACAAGACCGCGGAGCAGGTGTGCTCCGTCCTGGACTCGCTGGAGCGCGAGTACCGGCGCGACGAGGACTGGTGCGGCTCCGCGGCGGCGCCGCCACCGGCCGACGAGCAGCTCGCGCACAACCTGGACAAGGCCGCCCAGGTACCGCCATCTCCAGATAGTTGCCATTATCCAATATTGCGATAATCTGAAGTATTACGGTTTAGTTTTAAGGTGGTAGTACGAGTAGTTAAATGGGATTATTATAATTCCACTTTACACAATAATGTTAAGGTTAGATTAGTACTGACTTTTCATACAAAAAGTGACTGGTCATACTTTCTAAATTTCAAAATATTTTGTCACTTATAATTGTCCTAGTGTTAGAAGTGCTGTATAAAGTCCACGCAAATAGAATTGGATAGGCAACTGGTGGAAAAAAAAAAACCACATTTCGCTGAGCTTTTTATTGGCAGTACTGCACATTTAAGAGGGAACGTGAAAATGCTTGCCACCAATAAAACGTGAAAAAAAGATCTCATAGCCGCCACAGGATAGATTTTGAAACAATTCTGTCGAGTACTTAAGAATAATATGGTCGATTTAAATGGCGATACGTTCGAAAGTAACCGCGTAAGCGTGTTTGTCGGACTCGGCCGGAGCCAAGTGGGCCGTTCGCTTTGCACTTACGCGTCCCCCCGCCGCCGGCAGGTGGCAGCGCTGATCGTGAAGCACGGCGAGCAGAAGGAGGCGTTCCTGAAGGCGTGCACGCTGGCGCGCCGCACGGCGGAGACGTTCCTCAAGTACGCCGCGCGCTCCGCCCAGGTGCACGGCCACACCGCCGCCGCCAGCAAGGCGCACCACGAGCAGACGCGCGCCATACTGGACACGCTGCTCGCGCAGGAGAACAAGGTGACGCGAACACCGCCCGACTGCGGGACGGACCCATTGTCCATAATAAACGGCAAACAGATCGTGTCTCTTGTCTCGCTTTGTCTGACGTCTGGCTGTCACGGTTCATGAGATACGGCCCGGGGAAAGACGGACAGTCAGACGGCGGAGTCTTAGTAATAGGGTCCCGTTTTATACCCGCTGGGTACGGAGCCGTAACAAGAGCCGCACGTGCACCGGGCGCATGGTGTCTGCAATAACGTGTTTTTTTTTTATTAAAAAAAACTGGCTAGCACTTGACTGCCTTCCCACCTGATAGTAAGTGGCGATGCAGCCGTGTTTACCTGGTAGCTGTTAAATGCAAAAACGAAATTATGTCGTATCCGTACATTTGTATTACGTTTTATATATAGCCCTTGTATTTTACCTTGGACTTATCAAATAACAGAATTTCGGTCGGAGGAAACCATTAGTTTGACATTCCATCACCATGTTAATGGCGTTAAAGTTACGATTGGAAATAATTCAACAAACAAAAGTATTACGTTACACCAGTATAATAAGTTGAAGGGATTTGGGACCTGTTAATATCTTAGTCAAAGAAAGTATACTTAAAAAAAAACGTAATTGCGCAATTCAATGATTAATGTAATAACTGATAAAAATCTTCAAATGTTCTCACATCTCGGAAATTACGCTTATTGAGAATATTTATTTTTCTATCTAACGACCACCTTTACTTACCTTTGTACGTTGCGTCGTTTATCAATGAATAAATTCCATGTCACGCGATGCGACGTCGCGATTACGCTGAATCGCTAAACACAACTCGACCACGGCAGCAACTGTTGTTCCGTGTATTTTAGTTTGCGTTTTAAAATGTAATGTGCGAGATATATGAATGAGAACAATGCGGCCTTTGTGTCGCGTTGATATTGCGCGCTGCAACCTCGCGATAGGCTCGTCGCGCCCTCCGAGCGTGCCGCGATTGTGCTCGCGCCGCGGTCACCGGCGGAATGCTGAGGAGTGTCCTCGTCCTGTTACTGGATCCGGTACTGAGGGGCTCGTGTTTCATTTAGCGTGTTAACTGTTGTTGGATGGCGTTTGGCCGAAAATGGATCAGTAGTAGTATCCATCATTAGACACGTGTATGAGTGATTAGGGTTAAGATTGCTTCAAAGTGCAGATTTCAAATGCGGAACTGTTTATGGAATTCAGACTCGTTTAAAATGTGTATTGTGTTTGTGATAATTAACGATCTATATATGTAATTAGAGTTGAAAAGATCCGTTGTGCGCGCATCACGAATAAATTGCTACTATTCTTCCAAGTAACACTTCGGCCTATTTCTAAAAAAAATATTGCGATATCTGCATTAAATGTAAAGTTATTACAGTGAAGTGGTGAAGTGGGGCTAGCGATGTAATTGTTAGTATAATGAATAGTCACACGAAAACGAGAGAATTGAGCAATCGAACCCTAGAACCCCGGTGCCGAAGCCAATATTGTGGCAACTGCGCCACGGAGTCATCTTCAACTGAACTTTGTCTAAACATTTTTTTATACAAATATAATCTTGTGCATAGCTTGCCCATAAACGATGCTTAATATAATTTAACCAGCTGTACACGATTCACCATTTGGAAAGGACAAAGGGGACAGGAGAACCTTTAAGTTCATCACTGAACGGCCTCGTTGCCTCCGCCTCTGTAGGTGCTGGAGCACTGGACGGTGCGCAAGAAGCGGCTGGAGCAATGCCAGCAGTTCGCGCTGTTCGAGCGGTCCGCCCGCGCCGCCGTCGAGTGGATCCGCGAGACGCAGGAGCGGTGCGGGGCGGCGGCGGCGGCGGCGGCGGCCGGCGTGGCGCGCGAGAGCCGCGAGCGGGTGCGCCTCCTCGCCCAGCTGGCGGACGGCCTGGTGGAGAAGGGGCACCCGCACGCCGTCCAGATCAAGGAGTGGGTGGCGGCCGTGGACGCCAGGTGAACTCGATTAGCTCTTAGGCTACGTCATTATAGGAATTATGTTCAAGGTTTAAAAAAAAGGTTTTATTTTTGGTAACTGTCACCAACGATATTAGAGTTGTTAGAATGAGCTTGTAAGTGTTCTAGTCTGTGTTACAGTAATTTATAGCGCCGCTTTACAAGCGACGTAAACTAATTCAGGAAAACACACAAATGGCAGGTTAAGAATGGAATAATTATCCTATTGTCACAATGATTCTGTTTCCATTCTTTCATCCTCCATCTCACACTTACAGACACTCCCCCTGCCACCGCTTTTGGCTTTCATAAACAAATGTGTTATCTGTGAGAAGACGTTACTGTTCATCATCAAGTGAACCGTTCATATCTTTTGCCAACTTCCCAAATAAAGTATAAAAATCTAGTAGATAGTATTTTACAAGTGGAAAATAAAAGAATAAATATATCACAATTTTTATTACATATTTTAGAAAAAATATTCCCACTCAAAAATAGTTTAAACTTTTTACATCCTGATTGGTTATGCTTGCACTATAAAGCATTGCTAATTACATTTTTGGAAGAACAAATCCTATTACTTATACGTACCAATTATTACATAATTATTAGACATAGACAACATTTTACAAGTGGAAAAATGTTCGGTTAAAAAACAATTTTCGGTTTGTTCCTTTGAATAGATATGCAGAATTTAGCGGTTCTATGGAAGGCGGCGAAAGCGAGGCAGAGAGCGACTCCGGCGTGGCGCCCTCCCTCGCCTCCACGCATTCAGAGGAAACGCGCACCGAGCCCCAGCCGCCGGCTGTAGGCGACGAGAAGCGTCGCAGCGCACGGCGAAAGGAGTGAGCATCTCGCCATTACCAAACTACTATTTTAATATGCATACTGATTGCTGCAGTTAAGCAATGTTATAGTATTCAGTTTTATATTTATAATATAAATTTCCCTCGTTTTTTTTTGATGTATGACATAAAAAAAACCGACCAAGGGCGAATCGGACTTGCGCACAAAGGGTTCCGTACCATTATCTTTAAATACGGCAAAAAGTCGTGTCTGATGTATGGGAGCCCACTCAAATATTTTTTATTCTGGTTTTTAGTATTTGTTGTTATAGCGACAACAGAAATATATCATCTGTGAAAATTTCATCTGTCTAACTATCACGGTGCATGAGATACATCCTGGTGACAGACAGACAGCGGAGTCTTAGTAATAGGGTCTCGTTTTACCCTTTGGAAACGGTAACCTAAAAATTGACAAATTATTTACCAGTCATTGTTATCAACATTAAAAATCCAAAGTATATTTGGTTTAGCTGAAAGTATTAAAAATCCAAAATATCATTATCAATGGCCAATCCATTAGGCAATAAAGAAATTTTCATTTCGGATGTTTATAGAGGAACTTAAAAATTTCATAATTCATGAATTAGATTCATCATGGCGGAGCTCCTGCAGACCGAACGTGCATACGTAAAAGACTTGGAAACTTGCATCACGTGCTACTTACGTGAGATGCGAACCGATCCGGCGTCAGTGCCTGCGGCGCTACAAGGAAAGGTGCGTTCTATTTACCCATATATTACATTGTCTCATAAAATATTAAGGTACGTCTAGTTGTGTGTACAATTAATTTATGTTTGTTCCTAGTATTTATATCATGCACATTACTTTCTTGAAAATTCCTTTTGGAGTTATTTTTATGGACATACATATAACATTTTTAAGTATGTACTGAGAAGCAACAGTCAATATTTTTATTTCAGTCACTATTTGTTCAAATTTGTGAGTGAACCCTGTGAGAGTGGCACTGGGTATATAGAAATAAAAATATTACACAGAAAGGCAGTCGGGTTTTTTTAGTTTTTTTAATATGTTCTATGTTCCACTTGTTTGAATGATGAAGATTGTGATTGTGTTTATGTCGGCAGAGGTTAATGGAACTTTAATATAATAATAAAATTTATCCTTAGCCTTATTGCATAATTGTGTGCATGATGAAAATGTTCTTGATAAACATTTCATTAATAAAAACTCAAAAATTCTTAAGGGTCTTATTTATCCCCTAAATATAGTTGCTTCTCAATACGTATTAACTCTCTTCGTTCGCCTTGTTCAGGAAGAGTTGATCTTCGGCAACATCGAGGAGATCCACCGTTTCCACGAGCGCGTGTTCCTGCGCGAACTGGACAAGTACGAGATGATGCCGGAGGACGTGGGCCACTGTTTCGTGACTTGGGCGCGGGAGTTCGACATGTACGTGTCCTACTGCCGCAACAAGCCGGACAGCAACGCGGCCGTGGTGCAACACGCCGGCGACTATTTCGACAGGTGATTGAGAGCACATAGGTAACACAGAGCATATACGGAGTGGTAGTGGGAGAGCACAATTCCCTTTGTGGGGCTTATTACTGAATATACAGCGTATCGTTACCATCGCGACAATAAATGAACACACGTCTAACGCTACTTGCCAATAATCATAAAAAAATATTAACTTAAAAATATCCATAATTAAAAAAATATATTTTTCAAACAAACTAATTAAGTGAAAAAGACTGAAATTTGTAACACCTATACAACTACAACTGACTGATTCATACATTCCGAGACTTTTTCATTCATTGCCACAGCGTCGCATTACAAGCCTCTCCTTCTAACAGTATGTTTTGTCTCTTTTGAATTCATTCAACCCATTCATATGCTGTGTGACCTTTACAAATGAACTTTATGTTACAGTTTTATATGTAAGGGTGTTCTTAATTTCCGGGTAATTAACGACCTCAAAGAAGACTGGCGTGAAGTGGAAGTGTTTTATTTCTGCGTTTCATCTGTTGAGTGAGGTAGCCAGTGCCCACTTTAAAAACTGGTAACGCTTCTGCAGCCCTGCGGGTGTTGCAAATATCAATAGGCGGCGGTTGTCACTTAATGTCAGGTGAACCGCCTGCTCACTTGCAACCTTAGATTGCCAAATTAGATTTATGTTCAAATTGCACAGTTTAAATACAACTTTTATTCATTTTATCAACGGAAATTAACCGATACTACTAAAAAAATCATATTGCATGACTTAACCTAAAACTGATGGTGCTCTACGAAGTAAAAGACAATGCAGTTTTAATTTATAGGCTGATATACATTCAAAATGGACGTAAAATTAGCTCATTGTGAAAACTTACTTCGCTTAACAGCACGGTGTGTGGCATTTTAGCAGAACATTTAATAAAGTAACATTGCAAAATTGGCTATTATTTCTTAATCAGTTCTTGAGTTTTTTCTTGCCTCATGTAAGGTGCCTCGATGTCGGGCGGGACCTTCTTGAGGAAGGCCGTGTCTAATTAGGTACACTACTGGGCGTTCTAAAATGATATCACATTGAAAACTTGCGATTAGTTAGCAACATTTTTGCGCGCCATCTATTGTCAAATATGCGTTGCGCCATGGACTACAGCTTTAAAGCACTAACATCACGTAAGGCAAATTCACAAAAATGTAGATGGCGTTGATTTAATTTTGTTGATGCGATTTATTATATATTTATTAAAATCTTTTGAAAATATTTCATATATCGGTTAGTTATTTTTATAGTCCTTAGGTATTTTTTCACCATATTCAGATTGGTTTATAAATAAATATCTCTCCCAAAATAAATATTATTATCCTTCACTCTTAACAAATATTTGAAGTATTTTGCTTCTTAATTTGTCATGATTTGAATAAAATATGTGTGCCGAATGATGAAAATTAAAATGATATATTGACTTAAAATTTTTATTTAACTATTTCTAATCGGTACTGAATTTCATTGTTTTGTCATTATCATCAATTACAATACAATTATTAATTATTAAAATATATATTGCAGTATTATGCCTGATCAATCATTTATCAATTGGGATTCGATCTCGTCATCCTCAAACAAAGTGATTTCATAAATGCGCACTAAGGATAGCCACCAATTGGCAACCAATGAGGCAACTTTATTTTTCAGTGATAAAAAAGGTAGATTTTAATGGAAGTAATGTGTTGGAAATACATAAAAACCTAAATAATAATTTACTATAGTAAGATCATATTTACATAGTTGTGTGTGCAATTTTTCTGTATTTGAATATGTTAATTAAAAAGTTAAATATATCATTAGGGTACAACGGAAGAAGAAATTGGAACATCCTCTAGCGGCATACCTCATCAAACCGGTGCAGAGGATCACAAAGTACCAGTTGCTGCTGAAAGATCTGCAGGCATGCTGCGCCGAAGGGCAGGGTGAAATCAAGGTGAGTGAGATTATCTCCACAATTTTAAATATATATCATAATAATCCATATCAATAAAAAGGTTGGCGAAACTTGTTATGTGACCTGACATGCACTAATTTAGCAGCAAACATCTAATTTATACCGATCTTTAGAAACATTCATGCGATTGTAAGAAATATAAATTATATGCTATGGACCCCAGCTTCATGAAGACAGCCGTAAAGTATTCGGCTCTGAGGATAGGATACATATCCTTGAAGAGATGACGTAATTTAATAATTGAAGCCACCAAAATTGTTCTTGCCCAAAGTTTACTTCTTCCCTTACTCAGTAGGCAGAAGCTCCATCTGGATTCTCGCTGAGAAGCGACCTAATCTTGAATGTATCAAAAATAACTGTATAAGATTCATAATTATATTGCTTATGCAAATATATCGTCTCACATATCCGTCCCAAGTCGAGACTTCGCCAAAATACTCGCAAACTTTTCCTACTTTACAGGGTTCTGATAAATCCCCCGTATCCTTCATTAATTTAAAAAGCTACTATATTAACTTATGAACATTCACGTTCTTTGTTTACACATTACGATAATAGCGAAAAACAGACGTAAACAATTCATGTAAGAGAAGTATGGTCTAGGCATTGAGAGGAGGCGGTATTCTGGCAGAGGGCGTTGGTGCCTTAAAGGAGATATTTAAATAGATCGCAAAAAATATATAAGTCCTTCAAGATTTAACGTAGTAGTTATGGAATGGAGGTGAGAGGTCCTCAGTTACTCACCTTCACACACGATACCCTGTACGCAATAGGAAACAGGACCTATCAATTTAGGTCTGGTTGAAATATAATTGTATGATATATGTATTTATTTATTTTCTTTTATTAATATAATATTTCAATAATGTATTATTTATATAATATTAAGTAATATTTACCCACACACCTAAAATAGTTTTCACATTTACAGTGTGTCCATTCAAAGGGTACATTGGGGTAAATTGTAAATTGCAAAACCTATGTAACTATTTTTATTATTGTTTTAACTGTACTTCTTCATGGTGTGGGCAATAAGGGATATTACACCTCATACTCATTCATAATTACACAGTCCAAGGAAATGTCTTAAGAAGTAATAGATATACTCCGTGAACATTTTAGTCATTTGCTCTTGAGAGTAAATACAACGTCTTAAATCAAGAAAACTATAGATATCATATGAAAGCTTCCCAAAATCATTATTAACTAATTTAAAATAATATTTTGTCTACCGGATAGACGTGAACGTGCATGTTGAAAGAATTGAAAGCCTTACTAATATTATAAACGCGAAAATTTGTATGTATGAATGGGTGTATGTTAGTCTCCTTCACGCAAATACAACTGAATGGATTTTTATGAAACTTTACAGTAATATAGTTTATACATCAGAATAACACATAGGCGTCTTTCTGTCTGAATATTACGCCTTCAGCCTATTTTACGTAGATGTAGTTGCGGGCAGCAGCTAGTTAATTAGAGATTTACAATCCTATATTCATGGTAAACAGAACTATTCTCCAAAGTAAAATCATTTTGAAACACTTTGTATATTTCTAATTAACGGCGTAGGTAAACTCGCCGAACAAAACTCACTAACGTCCGATAATATATATAATATTCGACGCAAAAGCGAGCATCGGTGTTCTTGTTCGGAATGGGTTTCTCACAGTCGCTGGAGTAGGCGGTACGCTATTTCTTATCACAAGGAATGAACGATTAGGCTGATGATAAGATAATATTCTTCAAAACACGTCGAATCTGGTCGCCCAGACAGTTGCACAATGTGGCGTGCGTTGATCGCCACGCGAACACGTCGGGGACATTATGCCGGCACCAAGGCCTGAGCGGGAGACGCTTCGAACGGTGAGTGGAAACCACCCATACGGTTTTGTACACTTCCGAACTAGCGACTCGCCCCGTTTCGCTCGGATAGCAGCGCTGGCACGGCCACTTTTGTCAGGGTTTCGTACACAAAAGGTAAAACGGGACCCTATTTCTAAGACTCCGTCGTCTCTCTGCCCCTCTCTCTCTCTGTCCGTCTGTTACGGACAGTTGATATTTTTACAAATTATGTATTTCTGTCGCTACTGTAATGACATATAGGAAAAACTACTAGAAATATAATATACAGAATGAAAAAAATATTTAAGTGGGGCTCCCATACAACAGATATGATTTTTTTTTGCCGTTTTTATAGATAATCGTACGGAACCCTTCGTGCGGAAATCCGACTCGCACTTGACCTGGTTTTTTTTTTTCGCTCCCGAATTACGACTTTATCCGACATAATCGACAGTAACCGTTGTATTTCAGCCAATTTTCACAAAACCTTAATGAGTTATATACCTAAACCTTCCTAATCAATCTTTCCGTCCACTGTTGAAAACCGTATGAAAATACGTTGAACAGACTTACGCCCGGTTTCTGAAACACTGATCATCGTCTGATGAGGCTTATCAACTCTCTGAATTGATCAATTCAAAAAATTTATCCATCCTTTTGGCAACTGAAAAGACATTTGAAAAGCCATTTGACAGCTGATAAGTTAACATCTACAATGATCAGTGTTTCAGAAACCGGGCGTTACGAGTTCAATACGTCCAGACAGCGGCAGCTAAAGTATTTTGTTTTGTATTGTAATGATTTACGACGATTCGATTGGCGTAGTGAATAGTGAAGCTGCCTCTTACGTCAGAGGGTGCGGGTTCGAACCCTTCTATTGCAATAATTGTGAGGACACTACTATGTTAACATGTGACGGTCGCGTTTTTTTATTTACACATTACGATAATAGAGGAAAATGTGTATGCCACACATCAGCCATATACATCGAGATGTCGCAACATTGGATCATTTAAATTTTATGACTTGTTTCAGCAATTTCGGCATACGAGGAATCAATTTATCAATTGTCCTCTGTGAAATATTGCTCCAGCCTTAAACCTTGTTATCGTGCTGGAAAATGAATCCGATTTAAATGAATTGCGGTCTGGAACAAAGTTGAATTTTTGCTTTATCTTTGCTGTACAATTCGTATTGAGTGCTCCTTTGTCATATAATTGGTTCGATTCGCTCAAAGTCCCCTTCTAGTTCGATAACCCTAATAGGCCCACACCAACAATGTGATTGACAATGAGCACCACACGATCTTGACTAATATAAACTCTTTTTTTTTACCAAATGACTGCAATTTCCCATAATTTGTAATTTGATATTGTAGTCGAACGCCCCGTCCGCCTTACATTGCTGCAGTAGCTAGCGAACGCACACTGTCATGTTTACTTTTATGTCCTCTCCTCGTCACTATAGGGAGCCATAAATCACTAACGCCATAGTGCAAATACCTTTTTCAATTATTAAAATCCAATTTCGATTGCTAAGCTCACATTTGATCTGTTTTTTTTTTTTATCTCGTGACCTTCGCAAAGGTTGAAAAAATGTGCGTCACTTGCGTCTCTCGATTGTCTCTCAATCGTGCATTAAACATTATGCTTAAATTTATGTAACGACAGAATTTTCTTCATTTGTCATTACTACTTCAAATGATTTGAGGGTTGAATTTTTTTCCCTGTAAGAAGTTGTCCAAATTCCGGAAGAATGCTAATCTGTGGGCGCACGGACCGCATAGTTCGGTGGATTTCACAGACATTACAATCGAAGCTCGTCTAATGTAGCGGTTGTTTGTTGTGCAGTGTGGGGTCTTGCGTTGTCGTGAAGCCGCAGTGGCGTAGAGCGATTGACCAATCTCGCTTGTTTGGCAGCTAGTTCTTCATGGTTGCAGTTGCTGACAAGAGATATCTGCCGTAATCGTTTGGCCAGATTTGAGAAAGCTGTAGTGAACGACACCGGCGCTAGTCCATCAAACACTTACAAGGAAATTTTTCTGAGTAAATTTTCGTTTAGGGCAGGTCTCGTAGCGCAGGATTCAGCCGTTGCGACGAGCGCTTCCAATTATCGTACAGTATCCACTTTTCATCACAAGTAATGATTCGATTTAAAATCGCTTCATTATTGTTTCGGTTGAGCAAAGTAACACAGCAGTCGTCGCGTGTTTGCAAGTTTTTTTACTTTCCCGATTTGCTTCAAGTGGATTAATACAGTTTTATCACTTACCCGAAGCCTGCAGCTATCTCTGAAATGCTTTGTGATGGACCTGCTTCCACAATAGCCTTTAATTCTTCATATTCCACTTTGGTCTCCGGCCGTCCATGGCGTTGGTTCTGAAGGTCGAAATTTCCAGAACGAAAACGTTGAAACCAAAAACGTACCGTGCTTTCTTTTGCGACACCAGCCCCGTACACATCATTAATTCTTCTGTTTCTGCAGCACTGGTGCCACGGTAGAATTCTCTACTCGTAAATATACCGATATTTAATGTTTTCCATTGTGCGGTTATAAGCGACGCCAAAGAATAAAATAAGAGAATAAAATACGAGCAAAGCTCGGTCCTCCGAGTACTTTCATATGTAAGGACAAGATTATAAGTACATTTTCTAGCCACATACAAGCCCGTTATATTAGCCGATTATCTCGCAACGCAACACGAGGATGTCGCCGACTACAAATACATGTTTAAATAATACAATTAAGATTTGCATAGCAATTGAGTCACGGAGCGGTTTGATTTAGTCTTGTCCGTTTGCGCAAATTAATACGTCGCATAGTTTTACTTGTTGCAAACGGTATGCTTCCCGTCCGAGAAATATTTATTCGAGCGTATCTATATTAAAATAGTTGGCCGTAGCGCGCGGCCAGGGTCCCACTGTAATGTTTACAGTACAAGCGTTTCCCGCTGTTTGTACCCATATTGAAGTACACCCTGCGTATATGAAAGTTGTTGGAAATTTTGAAAATGTTCCTTTGCGGCCGTTCTTAGGTATACCCTAATCAATAAGTTACCAATGCTATTACATATTCACTTATATGCATTTAAAAAACTATAAAAGTATTATGAATAATGCAGTTAGCTCATAATATATTATGACATGATTTTTAAAACGTTTATAAATAAATAGCTGTCTTTTTTATTTCTCATTGTGTGCGTTATATTTCGTTATCTCAGCTCCGGTGCCAGTGGAACTGTTGGTTAAAAACATGCTATGATAAAAAACGCTGGTTATAGAGGTGTTGATAATGAAGATTAGGCCTTGGTGTGATTTGAAGTTGGGTCCTCGACGGATACTTGGTGGAGCATGAATTTGCTATTGAAATATAATCATTGATACATTATGGCAATGATACTTTTTCACTGCTTTGTTTCAATTATTAGATAAGTCATAAGGGGAGTATAAGATTAAAAAAAGCGTGTGTGTACGTATACAAGTAATTTATACTTGTCAAAACTGTTCCGGCGTGAAGTGGAAGTGTGATGTGGACTTTCGCATTTCGTCTAGCGAGTGCGGTAGCCGGGGCTCACTTCTGCAACCCCTAAGGTGTTGTAGATGTCCATGGGCGGCGGTAATCACTTAACATCAGGTGAACCGTCCGCTCGCTTGACAACTTTTCAAATAAAAAGAACATTAAATGCAATTGATAAAGGTTTAATTAAATAACGTGGAATCATAGGTAAATGTCGAAAAGTTAATACCGTGAAGTTGCTCTAAGATGATTGCTTTGCGACCACCTTCATCATGTCGCTGTCGGTGTGCGCGTGCATCATAAAAATGTATCTGCCACACTTTTTCCAAACGTACCAAAAGAAGTAGAACTTCATAAAAGTAAATTTAACTAAATTTACCGCCGTGATTTATATCGTTAGAATGACTCCAGCGTTGTCCAGGAACGATTCCATTATTCGTGCGACGGAACGTACGGAATTTAGTGACGAGCGGTGCTTGTTAGTCGCCAGCGCTAACGGCATTAGCCTAATTAGCCCAATGCTTTGTTTAATAATGGGAGCAGCTGGGAATTCACCCCGAATCGAACGCGCGGCCGCTTATCACCGCCGCTAACGAGTGGGGCCAGCGTAATGGCGTACACCCATTACGCGCTATCTCGCCGAGATGTTTGCGCCCGCGCCTCGCTCCGGCCACGAGCGCGAGCAGGATACGTTCGAGATTAAACAAACTAGTCCGCCGTCCGTCGTAATTAACCGACGGTTTACATTACACCAATATTTTTCCTCAATGATTCACCGGGCAGGCCGTCCCGCGCACCAGTCGCGCGGAGACGCGCCCGTTGCCGTCCGCGCCCGTCCGCCGCGCCCGATGGTTCCTCGCGGTGGTGATGGTTCTTGTGATACCCAATGTGCCCACGGTGACCATGCTCAAGTTTCTCACCAACTCCCGGTTCGGATCGCAGTTCTCTATCAATCAAAATGTTTGTATCCCAAAAGCACGGCGCACTACTGCGCTAACGCGGCAAACCGATATATCTTGACAGTGTCCCACTTTTTCCTTAATAGTTTCATTATAATAGATCGCGGGCAAAGTTCTGTATCGGAACGTAATATAAACAAGGCTGAGGGCATCGCGGTTATATTTTTGGTGTTGGCATAAATTAGTACTTTTTTAACTTATCAAAACACTACAGCTAGAATCCAAGTTCAGATGGTTTGTTTACGGTTTATTGATGTAATTGCATGCTACCTACGACAATGAACGTGAAAAATGTCTGTTAGGAACTATACTGCGCATTAGCATTATTTAAAGGGGAAATTAGTAATCTGTTCATACGATGATCACAGGCATGAGTATTAATAATAAATAATAATTATGTACAATGTGCGTGTTGCAACTTGTCATATTTATAAAGCGCACAATCGTAACACTCAAATCAGGGTACATTAAAAGAGCAACTATTCCAACAGTAATTTGTTGAAAGTCAAATAAATTATACTTTTCCATAAACAAAAATATAATCATCTCCTTTGCAAAAGACATAATCATTCATTCCTATTAAATTTAAGCACTGAATAGTCAGACGTGCAATAATTTGATTGAACTGAAAACGTTTTAATATACAAAATTTCTGCGCTTCCAGCTGGAAATAATGTTGATATTCCTCCTCTGGCATTTGCTAATTAAAATTGAATCTCCCGTGAATTTGAAAGGAACAAGCGGTGGATTGATGCCTCTCGGCGCTCCACACTAATCGGCGACTAGCGGCATTGTAACAAGTCGGGAATTCATAATATATCAATTAGTTGAAATATTTCTAATTCAAACATTCCTCTTGCGACCTCATCCCCCATTATCTACAATGTTTAAACCTACTTTGCGTTGTGAACAGCGATGACGCGTTGGAAATAGACATTTTGAAATTGTCATGTCTATGGATATCTTAATAACAGGCTATGGTCCCATTGTTAATATAATTATTTGTTCGTGTCCATTACTTAAAGAACACGCTCTGGGAGGGTCTAACTAAACATTGGTAAACACTCATCGTAGTTCGACAAAAAACTATGTGTCATTTTATAAAATCATTTTTACCGCAATTCGTTGGAAGGGTAAACAATATTTAAACAACTTTTGGTATTGTATGTATTGTAACAGGATATAAAAGAATAAGAGCTAAACTATATAAAGTGCCTGTTTCCCGTCGGTTAGAGGCGCCATTGGCTGCCTATGAGTAGATGCTCGTTACCTAGAAGCATAGATGCGAAAGAAAAGATAAAGGTGTGTGGAGATAGGAGGGTCGTGCAAAATCAACGAGACTTACTCCGATCCACTGATCTGTTTTTATCTCACTATATCATCCTTAGACGTCCATTGCAAATAGCATTCGCAGTGGTATAATCAAATTCGGTCTCATGGCATTGTCCACAACGGAGGAGAGGAACAAAATGAAATGAAATTTGAATTTGCAATTCGCCGCAATTGCCTTACGTTTCACGTTTGATGCTCCCTTCTGATATTTCGTTTCGCAATAATGGGCCCGTGTCACCTTCGTCTCGTTGGACGGTTCAGCGCTGCCGGTGGCGGATAATTGATTTTTCGCAGCGTTTTGTGTACGGAGCCGAAATAATTAGCGAGTGATTATATTTCCATATATCGCGAAAATGTGATAAACATTTCCCCGTTTATTAGGCAATTGAAATTGTATCTTTTATATATATTACACCTATTTAGCAAGTATTATAACACATATTTATTTTTCTGAATTTTTTGAGATATTCATTCTCATATTTACTACTAATAAAGTTTCTAAGCTACCCAGACTTCGTTCGCGATCAGAACCCGTCCGGAGTGTCAGTGAGCTGCGTTAGCAAAAACTAATGCTTACTGCGTTTTAAATACGATAAAATATAAAACACAATCAAAGTATCCACACATTCTGCACCTACAAGTGAAACGGTATTGCACGAAAACAAAAAGTGTGAAACGAATGGAATGTGAGAATGTCATGCCTTGTCGCAGGACGGCTTGGACGTGATGCTCTCGGTGCCGAAGAAGGCGAACGATGCGATGCACCTGTCACTGCTCGAGGGCTGCGACGTGCCCACGGACAGCCTCGGCGAGGTGGTCCTCCAGGACTCGTTCCACGTGTGGGACCTCCGGCAGATCATCAAGAAGGGCCGCGAGAGGCGGGTCTTCCTCTTCGACCTCCACCTGTTGCTCGCCAAGGAGGTGAAGGACTCCCACGGGAAGGCAAAATACATCTACAAGACCAAGTTCATGGTGAGTGCTATGTCTCGTCTCAGCCGTGATCCCTTTCGCGTTTGAGTTTTTCGAGAACAATTAATTTCAATGTGTATTACGATAATTCTAAGATGGTAAATGTTCATATTAATAGATAAAAACCATCAGGTTATCATTAAACGTATGATTTATATTAGTTATATATAAAACTATTATATAATCTATCTAAATGAAATGATAGAGGTCTGCCGTTGTGCGCGGAAAATTACTGTATAGATTTCAATCTTATGTTTTAGAAGTTAGGGAAAAAAAATATTTTATAGAAATGTGTTCAGTGATGTTTGTTTTATGGCCGTGCTGGGTAAATGAGTTGTTAATACAATAAGCAGCTTTGAAAGTATATACGTAAATCGTGATTTAAAAATTTTCACGAATTTTCCTTTGAACATCCATCGAATGAGAACAAAATGAAACCTCCCCTTTATTCGAATGAATTCGTCAGTGAATTCGACCAAATGCTTTTATGAGTGGAATTCGAAACTACTGGATAGTACTGCGTTTAGCGCAATATGTATGAACGTAGCAACGATTCAAAATTTCCTGTTTGAAAGCAACACATACGGTCCGATGCTCCAGGAATTACGGAGAGTTATGGAATTCCTTTCCGGAAACTCGTCGCTTACATACTTAACTATAGTTGGACCGTGGTGGTAGGTTGGGGAGCGGCATCATCCCCCTTCAACGGCCACTATTTATGTGAACCGAAATGTTCGGTATGTTTTTGCGTAGAGGATTAGTCCGATATGAAAATTCAAATAATGTTTAACTGAATATATTTCGATCGATAGTTAATTTTCTATGATATTAGTTCGTTACAGTTTGCGTTTTATCATTAATACATTCTTTAATAATTGTATATTCGTGTGAGAATCATCAAATCCGACATTACCTACGTGATGCACCAAAAATACAGTTATTGTTTCACGTTGCAGTTGTCACGGAAAAACGAAACGGTGCTCTCGAAATGATATTCGCTTCCAAACAAAGCAAATTGATTTTGCAAGGGGAATTCGATGTAACCACCGTACCCGCTTGACCGTATAAAATGCTCTCGGCACCGTACAAAATATAAAAAACAAACGCAGCAACATCACGTCAGAGAGGCGACATATTCAATTTTATATCGTGCTTGCCGACAATCTATTGAAGTAACGTTTGAATATACGATGATCACCATTACAATATACGCCTTTTTCATAATACTTGATGAATATAATACACCGGTTGAGGGAGTGTAGGTAGTTATAGTTTGCGAGGAAACGTCACGCTGCGACAACCAAAATAATTGGCATCAGGAAGTGAGAATGATAACAATGATGACTCGCATCGAATAGATTATACGTTTTCGAATAGGAAAAACCAGCGTGAGATCTCGGTTACAAGTGCACCTATTTTTTTATGTGTAAAGGTGCCAAGCGAGCAGGCTGTTCACCGGATGTTAAGTGAATACCACCGCCCATGGACATCTGCTATTCCCGAGGGCTGCAGATGTGTGCAGAGGTGACAACCTTTTGAAAATTGGGCTCTGGCCACCTCGCTCACCGGTCGAAACGCGAAAGTATTATACTTCCGCTTCACGCCGGTCTTCTGTGAGGTCGTGGTCCTTACCCGGACGAGCCTGCCCATTCGTGCAACAGTTTGTTGCGTTTGTATCCACCAACGAATCGACTCGAGCTGTTGGATTGCCCTTGAATGGTTGCAATTGGGGAGCGGCGATGCTAGTTACCGCTCTGTAACGGCAGACCTCCGAGCTGGGCGTGACGGAGCACATCGAGGGCGACGAGTGCAAGTTCTCCGTGTGGACGGGCCGCGAGCCGATGGCCAGCGACTGCCGCATCGTGCTCAAGGCGCCCTCGCTCGAGGCCAAGCAGACGTGGGTGCGCAGGCTGCGCGAGGTCATACAGGTGGGCACCACGGGCGCAAAACTTGCGGCATTTGTTGTTCTTCCTCTAGTCTTGCATTGTCACGTTCGCGGCGGTCACGTAACTGCCGATGCGTAAGTACGAATAGTTATCCCACGGTTTATACAGGGTGGCTTTTCTAAGTGTATCCATTATTTTATTAAATTCTAGACATTAATAATGTTATATAGAGAATGATAAATATTTAAAATCACTCGTAAGTAATTGATTACATTAATTTGAACTTATCTCCAAAAGTGCGTGATTTAAGGCCCATTTACACGATGCCATTTTCTTGTACATGCAAGAGCAATAATTGAATGCAATAAATTGCGCGCAATAATTGGTTAGACCATTTGTTGTTTAGACCATGCAACTTATTTATTGCTTCAATTTAATTGTATACAACAGGCAAGAAACTGGCACCGTGTAAATGGGCCTTTATACGCAACTCATTTATTTTACGCGCGATCATTCATAACTAACGCGCACACAAGTTCGGTTAAAGTAAAATTTAGGTACTTATGAATGACTACTGCATTGTCAACACGTTCTGTTTTGTAGGTAATTGAATGGCATTTTTTTTTTTTAAAAGTTTGTTTTTTATTTCAATAAACGATTATACTACCTAGTCTGAAGCTTCTGTGTAAATTTGGGCACTTCTCAAAAAATCTTCCTGTATACAGCGTGTCGTTACCATCGCGACAATAAATGAACACACATATATAGGAAAGCTTTTAAAAATGGTATTAAACATTTACATTCTTTAAACATCAATATTTAACGAGTTATTAAATTTTCCAAAACAAAGAATTTTAGAACACCCTTACGTATAAAACTGTAACGTAAAGTTCATTTGTAAAGGTCACAAAGTATATGAATGGGTTGAATGAATTTAAAAGAGACAAAACATACTGTTAGAAGAAGAGGCTTGTAATGCGACGCTGTGGCGCGAGTTGTATAGGATGTTACAAATTTTGTTTCTTTTTTACTTAATTAGTTTGTTTGAAAAATTTTTTTTTTTAATTATGGATTTTATTTAACGTTAATATTTTTTTTTGATTATTGGTAAGTAGCGTTAGACGTGTGTTCATTTATTGTCGCGATGGTAACGACACGCTGTATAATACATTGTAGTAATATAGACAAAAACCACATCTTGCGATGTATTCTCCAAGCTATGATTTAGACAATACTAATGTTAAATGTTTAAATAACCTACGAATATACTTTAATGGCAGTCTACATGCTGACATACTACTTGAGTCATTGAACATAACCGTTGCAAAACTACTTGGTGTTATTACAGTTTTTAATAATTAGTAAACGTGTTTTGAATTTTTTAGTACTTCGGGAGACAATTCGTTACGTGCAATGAAGCAAACACATTTCACCTCCAGTACTGTTGTCTACAAATACTAGATATCATTTTGATATTCCCAGTCAATTTGTAATAATATCGAGATTATTTATCGTACATATAGTAAATAATTTATCGTAGGCAAACCGATGAGAGCAAGGCGACCGTGCTTACAGGATGTTCGAGCTAGCCATCCGGGTGGAAATCCCCGGGGATAATGTTTTGTTTGATAATATTACACAATGCGGGACGTAACATATTGACACGCTTTTGACTTTAGGGATACGACACGTAAAGTTACATCAACTGAGGTCAGGCAACGAACTCAGCTTGATCACTACGGGACGAGACAGTTGAAGAGTCATGTCTTATTCATCAATACAATTACATTACTGCGTAATATAATTATAAAAAAAAACATTTATAGCACTAATATGCCACATGCGCTAGATTTAAACTGCAAACATAAAAAAAGTTTGAATCACACATTTTACACGCACAATTGTGTGTGGGGATCGTACCTTGTAATATCGAGTGCTTATTAGAACAAATAATTGCATGACTGAGGAAATCTGATCGTTGTTCTTTCTTATCAGGAAACATACTTCCGGGGTTCCCTGGAGCCGCACGCGCCTCGCAGCCCCGCGCGGGGACGCCCCACCAGCTCTCAGCGCTCCAGCAGGTAAAGCGTTAGACAATGTTCACCCAGCCTATTTCTTCCAGGGTTCCTACGTCTTCGTATACCTCACAATGACACAAGAGAAATGGTCTATTCGAAGTGCTAAAACTCATCTGTACTAATGTAGTAAAAATAATAAAAAGCAAAAACGTCGGTCCTTTAAAGTCTTACAAAACAGACGGGATTCGAGACGGGATAAACTTTAATAATCATTTTCTCCCCTCTTTATTATAGTAGCTATTCATTATCGGAAGCGAAATGCGTCTAGTCCTTTATCGCGGCGTTAATGTAAGATAGTGATTATACCATTGCGTTGGAAGACAGAAAAAATGACAGAAAAGAGGACCTACGGAGTTGAGTTTTCTTTCGCCTGTTTCTTCTCCATTAGAGGAAACTCATTACGAAGCGGTGGCAGATTAAAAAAGTTAATATCGATAAATGAAATGTATTTTTCTGATATCGATGAATAAATGATTTGGATTTTGGTAAACCTGTACGACGTATGGCAGGCACTACGACAATCACAAAGAGCTTTTAGGAAATGGGCAAAATCCATTACATATAATTCATCCGTTCAAACATACAATAAACAAACAATTAATTATGTCATTGGCGAACATACGGAAAACTTAATAGTTTAGCAAAGTAAATTTGTGGACTTTGCAAATTTACATCACGATACTGTATGTGCTATTTCGTATTGTGAAATTACTGTCTGTATTGATTTATTTGCGTTCACCGGCTAAGCAAATATTTACTGCGCTACTCTGATTGAACACGGGTAGTTACGAATAAAAATTAACATTTAGAATTGTGCATTTAAACCTTTTTATCGTAATTAATTTGTTAATAATTTATTGCTTGTGTGTATTAAAGTTCATTAATATTGGCATCTTGATGAGTAATTGTAAAAGTATTCTATCTTTGTGTTCCATACACTAGTGGGATGTTTTAACAAGTGAGCCTTGAAATGCTTTATTCGGAAACCTTTCAATGATTCCGGAACTCGAGTCGCGGACTTGTTCGTGAAATATTAAAAAAAACAATAAAGTGCGATACTGAGATCCCGTGAAATGAGCGGATTCCCGAATCGGGCTACGTTTGATTTCCACGAGTGCCACCCCTCCATCCCCCCCACACCCCACACCCCACATCCCCCGGGCCCGGTGGGGTGGCTGGAGGCCGCTGAATGCGATACATGCAATGCCCTCGAATCTACAAGCATGCTCGATGATCCGAGTTTTAGCACTACACGATGAAAAGCGGCCAGCGGTCATTGAATTTCTCCTCAAAGAATGGCTTGTGTGTAAACGACATTTTGCCGCATGTATGTCGCGTTCCGATTCCGACATGCATTCGATAGACTCCGTGCCGAAAATGGGCTCACAATATTTTATTACAATGTTATATTACAAGATGAAACTGTAGAAGTGCCTCTATTAAGTTATATACGTAATAAACATTACGAATTACGAGAGTAATTTCGTTAGCGAAATGAATTAACGTAATCAAAATAATGAGTATTTTCGCTTCGGCGTACGGATTGGGAGTGATTAGCTTTTGTGTCTCAAGTGGTGTCTCGATAAGGTCGTAGTTGGAGAGCGTTGATTAATTAAATTGCTCCGTCGCAGGGACCTCGACGACACGTACCTGGACGAGACGACGGAGAACGTGGACAGGAATTCGCTGGCGTCCTTCGGGAGCGGCAACACCACGGACTCGGACAAGGTGAGTGGCCCGAGCACTGGGCGATCGCGACCCTTAGCGGATCCCCGAACCGGACCTCCTCGCAGCGGCGAGCCCCAGACGGCGGCGCCTCCGACTGCATTCGAAATCAATCGGTGTATATGTTTATTTATTTGTTATCTTTCAGTTCACACCAAAATCCACAGCTCTTCGTTACGTTGTAAGTCTTATGATCTAAAATTATAACCGAGAACGTATTTACCTTATTTACGTGGTAGTATATTATGGGAAACGTTGAAGTTGAAGTTAGTTGAGACTAAAACTGCATATTTTTATAAATCTATAAAAGATGACATAAGAAAATTAAAAGAAAAAATTATTTATGTGATTTTTTGTTAGTTGGGCTCATCAAAAACCCTGGTTTTTTTTTTTCGTACATTTTTGACGTTCGCGATCACAAGCCATTCCGATTTTGAATACATCCTCGTTAAATCCATAGTTATTTTCCCTCTCGAACTTTATCCGCGTATATTTGTACATTTGATACTAACAAATACATTGAATGAAAGTCTCATTGAAACCCAAATATATATTTTATCCGTTTTTAATTTCGCTCGCCCTTCGGTGAACGTATTTCTATAATTGGAGCGATTTAAGTGGCTTCCTTCGTATTATGCAAAAGTTCGACCACTCTTCATGATCCGATTCAGTTTCCATTTATATAACGAAACACGTTTTCATAAGATCTGTTAATGTGGACTGCGGGATAGTGTTAACCTTTTTTTAATACAAATGCCGGCTTTAAAAAGGAGGATTGTATATCAATTAGTGTGATTATATGGTTTTTTTTAATGTATGTTCGGGCATAGCTCCGTCATATATAGTATGTATGCAAATTTATTTTTTGTTCGAAAGGAATTTATGATGATTTGTTTGATGAGTTTCGGATTGACAACGGAACTCTTCAAAAAATGTCAGCAAATCAACCGCGATTGCTGCTATCGCATAAATCATAATCTTGTGTGCATTGTAAGCGTCTACTTGTCTGACAGTGGGATAAATTCGAACTATATCGGCAAAATCTCGTATCAACGGTATTCCTCGACATTCACAAAGGAATTCAGGTGGAGCGTTGTCAATTCTACAACGCGATTAGTAAGTAACCTTTGTAAATAAATGTATATCGAGACGAGTGCGAACTAAACAAAGACAATTATTGTAATTTTTTTTTTGATTTTCATCATTTAACCTATGTCACATATACTTTGCTGAAAACTGTAGACCGATATCACTCCTCAGCCTTAAACATAAGTTTTTCTCGAGGGTTATAAAGGATAGTCTCGCCCAAAATTCGATGACTTCAAGCCCGTGGTGGTGAAGACCACATACATACACATAGGAAAATAATAAGGAAGACCGAGGAATACAACCGCCCCGTCGTATATGGACTAATAAAAAGTTTTTTAACAAATAAAACCAACTTCAAAAAACCCTATTAGCCCTAAAAAAACTTTAAATAATGCTAAATCTATTCAAATATGTGCCGAGGTTCAGGCTAGGCGCCTCGTGCGCCAGGCCACCTCAAGCCCGTCGGAACTGTAAAGGTCCCTAAGGCAAACAGTGGCTCATCCAGACCAAAAAAAAATATGTAGAAAAAGTACGAGAAGATTGTCGCCGCTGTGGGAATCGAACCCACGTCTTCGGCATTCGCTGCCTACGCGTCTTTTATCGTGACCGAAGACGTAGATTCGTTCACAGCGGCGACAATATTTTCGTACTTTTTCTACATATTTTTTTAGCACTATTAAAATTTAAATACTAAATCTAATAATCTTGAAAATGTAACCTACGTAATGTATAAATAATTTAACAATTTTTGGAGTAGGTGCCATTCTCCATAGGTAACGGTTGTACACCACCTAATAATTAAATAGGTTGTATATTTTTGAAGTCGGTTTTTGTTTTGTTAAAAAATCTTTTTATATTTCATATAATATAAATACATTAGGAACCTGCTTTGCTTTAAATGGTTTTAAACACACATGACCGAACAGACATACAGAAACGAAAAAGAATATTTAAAATGACGAACTGTTTAATGCACAAATCCGGCATTCAAAAAATTCTTACGGACTCACGGACGGATCACGATCGAAAATAGTAGGAGCAAATACGTGCCCGGATGAAATTGCTAAATTTTCCAGTTGGTCGCTCACCACTGGCACGCACCGTGACCGTTTATAATGCTATTTAAATATTTAACTCTCCGCCAATTCGTACCCCACATCGGTACACGGTCAAGATCCACGGCCCTGTGACTGGGGAGGCTGGCGTGTCCGCAAAATGTACATATCCTGAATAGAGGCCCACAGGAGCCCCCTTTGTGTCGACACCAAGATTGTAATAATAACGGCGCCCGCCCGTCGCCCGATGCGACGCTGCAACACATTGTCCCCGCCAATCTATCGTGCGATGTGCGCTATTGACAATTTCCGAACGGTATTCCCCGTACACTGCGCCTTTGGTGGAGGCCGTACGCGTTGTTATTAGTGACCGCCGCCCTGCCGGCAACATGTTCCGGATTATTTTCGAGACCATTGTGCCGGCCGTCCGCGCGAAGCCTTCTATAGCGGCTATGAGGGCCCCCGTCCGGCGGAGCTTTACGAAGTATCCGAGAATTTTAAAGGGCAACTCATATTGCGTCTTTCTAAAACGTACGTTCGCCAACGTGGCGTTGTGCAACGAGCGGTTTTTGCCCTTCGCGGAACATTGTCACGTGGAAATTAATTTCGCTTTGAATGTTTGTTAAAAATAGTCCGCTACGCTATCGGAATTAGAACTCATGATGAAACTGCGCTTTGTCACGTGGCCGGCTTTCGGCGAATTCAAAACAAAAGCCCTTTCGCTGGAGCTTTGGTTGCTATTGGGAAAGATTCTCACGTTAAAAATATTACAAATGTTCGTTTGTGCGCTCGTGGAATATAAGTTCCTTGCGTAAAACCGCTTCGCGAAGTTTGGCGCGTGTTCATCGTATCGCAACGGCAGACCTTTGTTGGGTTTCATCTCTCAGAAATCCGTTAATAGAAGTAACAGAAAATTTCACAGGATTCATGTATTAAAATGGGACGTTTTGGGCGTTCGGTATTCCATTCAAAAATTATTATTTATTCTTAAATAATAAAATAAATTTTAGGACACATTTTTACACAACATTCTCTAGTCCCAAACTAAGCAAAGCTTGTACTATGGATACTAGGAAACTGATAAACATACTTAAACATACTTTTCTTTTGTAAATAAATACATATTATACATATAGAAACACCGAAACACTACAAAAACACCATGTTCATCACACAATATTTTTCCAGTAGTGGGGATCGAAACCACACCCTCTGGCGCAGGAGGCAGGTACACTACCCACTACGCCATTCGGGTCGTCAGATTAATAGATAATGGCGTGAAGTGGCAGTATTATACTTTGGCGTCTCGTCTGGTGAGTGAGGTAACCGGGGCCCTCTTTTAAATAGATTAACAGCGCATCTGCAACCCACCACGTGTTGTAGATGTCAGGTGAACCGCCGGCTCGTTTGGTCAATTTGTTAGGTAATAATAATAATAAATTCCCGTTCCACCGCTTTGTATTCGATCAATGTGGAAATCGCACACGGCGAAATTTAATTTACCCCGTTCATTTTGCCCTGAATTACGCTGATAATTTGGGCGAGGCGCTGGAAGACGTTGGCCAGCCAGCCCTTCTCAATGCCGTCACGCTGGCGGTGTTTTTGCTTTCAGTACGTAAACTACTTTGATGACTCTGTGATGCTGTTGTCAAGGTATCGGCTCCGACACAGTGGGCCGTGGGTTCGATTACCGCACGGGACAATATTTGTGTAACCCACAGATAATTATTGTTTCGATCATTCAATGTACTGAGGGAAGAATTAGAACGCCTACCAGGCATTGCGCTTCGGTATGGCCACGATAGACTTTTAATTCAAATTCCAATTAAAATATCTTTATTCAAGATAAAAGTATTACACTTACTTATTTGTTGTCAAAACGCTACCACCGGTTCGGTAAAGAAAAGCCACTGACACGAGAAGAACCGGCGAAATAAACACATCGGGACATTTTTTTACCATTATTTGACAAAAAAAACATGTTAAAAAATGTATAAAAGTAAATTAGAAGGAGGAAGGAGGCCTGGAGCGATCAATTGATTTCCAGGGTGTGTTATCGTTCAACAAAATGAGAATCTTTTAAAGAGGGAGTTGACCTGTCGTGTTGGTTTTGCCGTGCTCGGCGGGAAACTATTTGTTTACGTGTGCTACCACTGTGGGGGCAAACAGTGTTGTTTGGCGAGACCCCGCTGGCTTCGAATAGGAGCAGCGCGCTGCATCCGGACAAGTGGCACCGGCATTAATACAGCCGAGAGGCACTTTTGTCGCTCGCTCGGAAATAACTCGCTCCGCAGTCGAGTGTCACCTCGGGGCATCGGCTTGTGCCGGCTCGCAGTTGGCACAAGTTGGGCGACAAGAGCGCGGAAGATGCCTCGCCCGTGTGCGCCCACCGTCGCCGGCCTCAAAGCGGAGCCGTGAGGTAATTGCTTCTAACTTTACGCGCGCTGTTTGACTTTGCACGAGATGCGAGACGCCGCGCTACGCCCGTCGTTTGATTACAACCCGCCTCCCCGCCTCCTCGGTTCGCGCGTAATTGCCTTGTAGACCACGATTTAACCGGATGCTACCTTTACATAGACCCGTGGACATTCCGCGGCTTCGATGTACCACATAAAGCCGAGGATTTTAATCATCGTTTCAAAGTTTTACTTGAAGAAGCCTTAAATGTAAGCAATTTATTCCTTACAATTACTTTGCTTATGGTCGTCCATATTAAGTATCTACCTAAATCGAACAAAGTATTTTTACGTGGTTCGTCGGGAAAAGGGAAACGGTTATCTGATTTTATGATTACGAGTAGTCGCCTTTAAGGAACGTGGTCTCTGCTTAGCTGATAATTTTCTTGTCAATATGTGTAAAGTTGAAATTCCGACAATCCGTGAACCGCGCGAATCTGAGGTGAGTCTACGCATAGATTCTAAAATGCAATCCACCACCAAGAGCAAGAGTTTCACGGTGAACAGTCAACGAAATTAGCGTTGCAAGTATTCCATCACGTCCGCACCGCCCTCAGAGTACTTCACGGGTGTATCCGGGAGGAGGTAAATCAATTTCCTCCTCGCGACGAGCCGAGCACGGGCCGCCGTAAACGAAACTTAACTAGCGTCGGCGTCTCATCGTCGATTCTCGAAGGCCGCGGAAGCCCGTCCCCTCATTCATGTGAGCCCATCCGATATTGAACGCTTCCCCCTCCACGAGTATAGGGGTGTCCATTTCCGTTTTTATTCATCCCATTGGCGTTTCATATCATTCGGTGGACCTTTTTGCCGTTATTGGCAACGCGTTATCTTTCGACACGTCGTCGCTACATAATGTCGCATTCGTCTACGTGTCCCTTCGTCACTTACAACGAAAATCTCGCGAAAAGTTTTTGCAACGTCCGTGGTCACATGACAAGCTGAGGTTTTCGATTCTGTGATGACTTTGACATCAGGAGATTCGATCAGTGTTCACTGATTTAAAATATATTTTCGTAAAGTAACAGCCTATAAATGTCCCACTGCTGGGCAAAGGCCTCCTATGCATAGAGTTATCAGGGCATAGTCCACCACGCGACCCCACTGCGGATTGGCGAACTCTTCAACTCTTCACATCTTTTCGAAATAATGTTTTTTGTTATTATTTCGAAAATATGCAGGTTTACCACGATGTTTTCCTTCACCGCTGAGCACGTGATAACTCTACACTTTAAATTACATAATTTCATTGGTGCTTGCTCCGGGATCGTAGTCGGGTTGCTCGGTAAATTTAATTAAAGGTGAGCGCCCGGACACTGAGCCATTACGGCTACTTCCTACTTCAAGTAGGATCTCTTCTATATTGTATGCAATACAATATAGAAGTGATCCTACTCATCCTACTTCAAGAACTTCGCCCTCAATCTTACGATCACTTAATACTGTTAGAAGAATGTATTGTATTTTTCTTACGGTCTTATGCCACCTGACTACGTCTATCCTTTGAACAGCAATATCAATCCTTACTCCTTACTAGTATTAATACTATACTATACTAGTATACTACAAAAATTCGTACATACAAACTTTCACGTTTATAACAGTAATATTTATTTATTTATTTGTTTAAAAATTTATTGTTTCCACCCCAAAATAAGGCCAAACAAAAGGCAAACTTAATGCTAATAAGCATTGTCTTCCAGTCAACCCTGGGAGTAGTGAAAAATTTGACGTAGGTGTAAAAAAAACGTTAGTAATAGTAATGTTATAAATGTGAAAGTTTGTATGTACGAATTTTTGTTATTCTTTAACGCAAAAACTACTGAATGAATTTTCATGAAACTTTGCAGTAATCAAATCAAATCATTTATACATCGAAATAAGAAATATACATTTCATCTATCGATAGTCATTTTTTAAATCTACCACCGTTTCGTAATGAGCTCACTCTAACGGAGAAGATACAGGCAAAAGAAACTCCGTAAGTATCCTCCTTTTTGACATTTTTTTTCCTCAAACAATATTTCTTGTACATCAGAAAAACACACATTGGCCATAATTTATAAGATACAGGGGTCTCTTAAAGTAATTCTGTCTGTCTGTTATGCCTTCACGAATAAAACGCAGTACTAATTTTGATGAATTTTAGTATAAAATAGCAAGTAGCAAGGAAGGAGAAGAAATTAAGCTACTAGTATAGCTACACCAGCTACTATGTAATGAATATGTAAGTATATTTTACGTGAAAATTGTTTATTCGATAAATATTCACTAGTTTGTACATAATTTTTGTAGTCGGGGTTTAGATTTTGCACTTAGTTTTTATTTGCCATTTTCGTACAACTCTCTACATATTTATTTACAACCAGTGTCATAAAACTGGTAACTGAATATCCGATCTATTAATAAAATAATTATTTTGTTCGTGCTCTAATGAGTTACCGGATAGGTTGATCATTCACGTTAATTACAGGAAAATCTACATTTGTATTATATCCCCTAGGCAAGCGTAAAATAAATACGCATTTCATTTTCCTGCAATACATCCGTATGGTACATACTCCCAACGTTATCTAGTGTTTACCAAAATTTAATTATGGCTTTATTTCGCCCGAATTTATGATTATTCAATATCATTATGTCAATATCGAAACATGTGATTTTCGACGCCCACTGCTACAGAACAGAGACTTATTAAATTACAATAAATTTGTGTCTTCATTTATTGCCTTTTCACTGAAGTTTACTTGATACGGGGGGGTGCGGCTGGCCCCAAGCTTGCCTGCGAGTCGCGCTCCGCAAATAATGAATTCTCGTATTTTAATGTACACAGCGAAGTTTTAGCACCTTTGTATGAATTAATGCACGATACTGGAAATGCTGTAATGAGTTCGTCTGACGTGCATTCCATAATTAGACAAAACAAAAGAGCCAACATCGCAATGCCAATTAGATGTATGCGTTGATCTTTATGAAAGGCTGCCAGCAACAACCTCACTTCGTTGTAGCATAGAGTTTGAACTTCGGTAATTCTATTTCTCTATTCTAGTCTATAATAAATAGCTGGCGACGTCGCGTGTCGTGCGAGTGTCGACGTCGTTAATTACTTTCCCTTGTTAACATTAATGAGGCGGCCGCCACCTGACGGGCGAGTTCGAGCCGAAAGGCCGGCTTTGCGTTGTCCTATCGTCACGCGCTTCATCGGCCAGCGTGACTGACTGCTGACTGCTTCCTCTGACCGGGCCGTTAGTGCGGCTACAGGGCGCTCCAATAGTAAATATGGACCCGATTATTTGCCCCACTCACACAGCAGCAACACTTTTTTTTTACGTGGGAAAAATCCTTTATGGATCGCCCGCCGCCTTGTGAGAGCAGGCGTATGTGGGAGTTACACGGTACCCACTAAAACACCCACGTTGCACCTGCGCTGTCGCTTTGCCGGGGACACGGGACAAAAACGCAATCTTCTGCGAACCCCGACGCGACTGTGGCCTTCTCAGACCTCCTCTCCCCGGGTGTTAGGGACACCCGGTCCAGCCAAATCGTGCCGTGTCGATGCAAGCAACACTAGCACAGCATCGCAATGACTAGTGAATTTTACAAGTATTTTCTCATTCTATGCAGATTTTATCTCGTCTAATTTGAATTTTTAAACTTTTTCTATTCTTTTCATGTGCTTGCATTAGAACGCTCAGTAGAAGTCAAATAATCCCCTCTGAAATTACTTTCGATGGAAATATATTTTTCTGAAAACTCCGTTCAACGTTCACTATAAATAATTCCTCGTTTCCTTTTGAATACCGTTTGCGTTGCATAAATAATTTAACTTAGGAATTTATGTGAAAATTCAGAATATGATAAATTCTCCCAAGACTTGCTAACGAAGTATGTATCGTAAACTTTCTTGATCGCGTTTCATTCGAGTGACTTCTTCTTTCTTATAAATCTCGGAGTGGTGCTGACTAAATCTATACCAATTTAACTGTAAAGACCCATAAGTGTGCACATTTACCGAAAAAAGGATACGTGGTCTGAGGTTGATGTCGTGTCTCCATTTGAGGGCGTTCCCCGTGTTACTGACTAGATTGGATCAGAGTTTTTGGCGTTCATATGCGTTTGGGAGAGAAAACCACGTTGGCTTCTAAAAAGCTCAACTATCCTAAGTAGAGTGAGTTAATAATTTCTGTTGATCCATCGCTTACAGCCCTATAAAGCACTCACGCTCCAAAGAATGGTTCGGATATATAACCGCTGTTGAATTTCACTAACCAACCGTCTAACTGCAAAATTACTATCGACACCACCTTAATTTTTTTTACGTGAAAAGGGGTCGAGGACACTGGCGGTTCCAATAACACCGCCTATGGACATTTGCAGCACTTAGAGTTGCAGATGCGTTGCACCTTTTAATAAAGTGGGCCCCGGTTACCTCACTCATCAGATGAAACGCAGAAGTGTAACACTTTTCTTATGCGCCGGTCTTCTGTGAGGTGGTTGTACTTTCCCGGTGGACCTGCCCATTAGTGCGACAGCGAAGACTGATGCGTGGTACTGACACGGTAAAACCTTGCTGGTTGGAGGCCCACAACCGTGAACTTTACACGCACAGCCACTTTGTGAAACGAAATGGCGACAAACGGGCGTATAGGTATACTGCGTTGTATTGAAAAGTAAAAGAAGGTGCAAAATTTTATAAATATGCATATGATGTGTTTCTATCTACAAAGGAAATGTAAAACTCACCAATACAGTATATCAACCACAAAGCACTCACCAACTTATACGCTTATTCAAGTAAATTATGTTCTTTCTCTCTACGGCCCCAGCTCTGAGACGTTAATCTGACTGAGCTAGCCAACAGTGCAACCTCCTGCTCAAAGGCTAAATACAGGCTTTGCGTCAGCTGGCGTTCGTGGGGTAGCGGATATGATGTGTATAAAGGTGTTGCGGCGTTGCTTGTGCGACTTTGAAGTCCGGGACTGAATATAATTATCTGCCAGCCTTTTACCAGCAGCCTCTATTGCGTTATTATTCGATTGCGTTTTTAATTTGCGGTCTCTTTTAAATAAACAATAATTTGTAGTTTGATGACTGTCAACGGGTTACATGAGATACCGATCAAATGTCAATGGTTTTTAGTGTTTTTTCCTAATAATATTATGAATCCACATCTTCTTAGGTGCAATAAGAAAAAAATTATATACATACAATTTGGGTTTCGTATGGCTAGAAAGTCAATTACGCGATTCAAATGGCTGTATTGTTCTTTGTGGCTTTCTAAGGGGGAGGTACCTGCTCAAGTGGAAGTTTTCCGACTGGTGACGTCGGCGATGATCATGATGATGATCTGCATACAAAGTTTGGTTTAGGTCCAATTCATAACATTTAAACATGACGCGTTCATCCGTAGATTTTATCATTTTTTAAGCGTTTCATAACTTTCTATTTTATATTATTCGTGATGCGCTGACGGCATTCGACAGTTATCGGAAATGAAATATTATTATAAAAATAACGGCGGCTAGGTAATCCTAATCTCGACGCACAGAAAGAGGTGTAAAGTGTGTATTGTTAAAGGAGTCTGACGACGGTATTCAGTTGGCTTAAGAATTAACCCCTTTCTTCGTTGATTATTGCCAGCGTTGAATTTCACGACAGTGATTTCCTTTTAAGAAATTTTCAAATATTCACGTCATAACGGTATCTGTCAGTATTCTGCTTCATTAAGATTGTCCGTTGCTCTAACCGCAATAGGCCTTGACCTTCATTCGACTCTAAAATCAAATTATGGCTAGTTTTGAAACGCTAATATATTTATTTACCGCCAAAGTAAGAAAAGTAAAAGCTGTGTACAAAATTATTCATTCAATAATTCATTCATCAAATTCAATTCATTGTTTTGTAAAATCGGTTCGATTTCGACCTGCGGTTATAATTATGATTTTATAATTTGAATTTTGCTTTTGGAACATTAAACAGTAATTCAATTTAAAAGGAAAAACTGTTAATATTATATTATTAACTAGAGGTCTTGACGACCAGACAAGCGTCAAACTCACACGTCTTATGTGTGTACCACAATTTGTTTTATTACACGCCATTGATGACTCGACGCGTGGCTTTCGTGAATGTATTATCAAATTTTATTTATTTTGCTAGTTTTAAAAGCAACATTCCGAAATCCTTTAAATATATATTAAATCAACTGTTTTATTAACTTTTTTTACGAATACCATGTGTACAAAAGTTACGTTGTACTATGCCAAACAATAGGTACTTATTACCAGTCACTTTTTACATAAAGATTCTTACCTATTTTACGTACATCCATATATACATACATATACATAAATACACACAAGTTTATATGAAAAGACGATGTCCTTGGAACAGCTTTTTTATATTGCCTTTAATTTGGATAAAGAACTCTATTTTCATATAAGAACTTTTAAATAGTTCTTTTTCAATGTGTAAGCATTCCTCATGCGTGTCACCTCACGATTACTCTCTTCAACATCTTATAAACCGAACTTCGGGGGGATATCTTTGAACTTGCATTTTAGCGAATCAAGTTTTCCATCTAATTTTGTCATATCTCTAGTATTTGTTCCGTTACCCATTACGTAATACTAATAGTAGTAACTAGTAGTATTCGTAATAAGTAACTGTAGTGCTAAGTATCTTCGATACTAACAAGTATCTTTTGGTACCGATGCTCGCTGCATAACTAGTTGCATTATAACAACGACTCGTGTTACATTATCTATAAAAGGGCAAAATATTGTCTGTTGTATGGGAGCTCCACCATTTTTGTTGTTGTAGCGGCAACAGAAATAAATGCCCTATGAAAATTTCAACTGTTCACGAGTTAAAGCCTGTTGACAGGCGGACAGACAGCGTAGATTTAATAATAGTGTCCCGTTTTACCCTTTGGGTACGGAACCCTAAAAATGATTTTACGTGTACATAATGTAAGTACCTACCTTCGTATGAATACCAATACTAAGCTACTTACATTAGTTATTTTTTAAAATTACGACGTAGTTGTAGTAAGGCCTTTGTTAGTTATAAGATAAAGAAGTTTTACAAACGAGATAAACCTAAAGACGGCTTCATGTCCTCTTTTTGTTTGTGACCTTTCATTTAATATTGTTACGTAAAACCTCTTCGTACACATGTTGACTAAGTAAAGAGCTCGTTACTGAGGCAAGGGAAAGAAATAAAATAATTTTTATCCCTATAAGCATTAGTAAAAAAGCATTTTCATTTATTATAAATATTTTTATTTTAGCAAATATCCAAATATACAATAATCGCTTTGCTTTAACAATTTAATTACTTATTAGGTATTGTGAACACGGTGACGGTCTTTATTTTTAACGAAGAAAAGCCAATTGTTGTTTTTATTTTCATTCCACTTTTATCAAACGTTGACCTTGTGAGTTGGCTTCACTGTTATATTTTCAAAAGTTTCAAGACGTCTTCATAATTTTCTCCGGTGCATCCATAGGTTGTAGTGAACTCCCCTCGTGCATCTGATACGTCCAGCGCTAGAATGAAATTTAACAAAAAAGTTATATGAATATGGATGCGATGCAATCACAGTAAAAATGAGTAGTGAGGAGACTCACCGTCGTCGCGGTCATGAGAGAAGAGGTGAGGGCGCTGGCACTGGGCACATTGGGCACACTGGGCAAACTGGGCAGTGGCGTGTGCCGGCCACCGGCCACCGGCGCCCGTGGGCCGCAGCAAGTAGCGCGGTGCGAATTCGGCGAGCGGCGAGCGGCGAGCGGCTCGATACGGAGGCTGCGTAGTGAGCGAGGCGGCGGGCGGCGAGGCGCTCCGCCAGTGGCGAAAGCGCCGCGCGCCGCTCCGGACGAGACGACGCGGCGCGAGGGTGCCTGCCGCGCGCGGCGCACGTGCCCATGGGCACCACACCGCCCCCCGCGGGGCCCGCGCCCCCCAAGCACAACAAGGGCCGACGCAAAATCTCATTGCCTTGGTTCCGTCAGAGCTCAGTAACCGCGCCGCACGTCGCTCTCTCCCGCCAACACACCATCGACACGCCGAGCTCGTTCCACGCGCGACTACTCAAAGGCAACCGCCAGCGGCAGGTGAATTGTGCAGCGCCCTCACGCACGCGCATCCCGCCCACTCTTGCGCCTGCAGCTTAACTGCATACATACATACATTCATGCATATGTACATACATACATACATACGTGCACACTGAATATTCGCAAACACTCAATACAAGTACGTATTCCTACTCGGTGCGAAAGGTGTAAATAAACAATTTTCATTTGTTTCGTTGCGTAATGCGTTCGGCTTTTGAAGCTTCCCACTTTCAAGATTTTTCAAATTATTTTCTAAAAGAAGTGGCATAATTTAACATGAATTAACGACATAATTTATTACTTTAAAGCTACTTTGAAAAGCGAAGAGGGGTTTATTTAATCGATTGAAACACATTGAAAAAGGCAATGCACTAAAATTTGAATATCCGAGGGAGCGTGACCCAATCGCAGATCAATTGGAACGTAGGAAAATATCATATGAAAAGTGCACACTGTTGCGTTTCAAGATCATTAGAACAGGGGGCGTCACCGGCCAGTTAGTTTGGCAAAAACAATGCGGGCGAGATTCGTGGCTGTTATTAAGTGCGTCAATCACAATAGCGGGCGGGCGGTGCTCTCGGCTCAGTAGGCGATAGAAATATCTGCTCAAGGTCCGCCACTCGCTTAGGATACGACTGATAATAATAGTCCGTCGAACGATTCGGCCGATGGATTTACGGGAGGCAAGTTGCGTTCCCGCATCTTTTACGGCCTCTGTGCGGTTTCGTTTTTATATCACCGATGCTCGCAGAAAACACCTCGCTTCCACCCGCGACCATGAAAACTCAAATACAGTTATTTGTAAAGATTAAACTCCGTACACAACGTACGTAAAGTATATTCATTAAGAGGATGTAAAATGTTCAATCCACGTGCTGAATAGGCTCTTATAATAGACGCGGAAACTGGACGTGTGCTGACATTAACCTTGGAGCTTCATCAACAGTTGATTATGATATTCAGGGAGCAACGTTGTTGGTTAATTTGATACAAAGCATACACGCGAAATCCCTTTGTATGACCATCAACTCCTTTTACCCCTTTGCGTCACGATTGTTATCGTACTGCATTCTTATTTATGTAGCGGTTTAGGTTTGTCTTCTTATAAGATACAGTACCTGGAGGAATTTTTTTGGTAAATCGTGTATTTTGGAAATTAAAAAAATAGAAAAAAAAGTAAAATATAAGTGTGTAAATGATCGTGACACGAACGGCGGTCTTCCTCTTCGGGGATAACATTTATAAAATTAAACTTAGCATATATATATATATATATATATATATATATATATATATATATATATACAAGAATTGCATAACAACGCAGTCTGCCTCTGCCTTTGGACGATCAGCCTTAATAAACTGTTTAGTAATCAACATAACAACACAAAAACACCTACATGGCTTAATCAGTCATCCAGCTCGTCTTTAAAAATCAAGTATTTTCAATCCGGAAACCCATCGTAATTTTGAATGCATTATTATCTACTTAAAGATGCCCACATTGAAGGGGTTGATTGAATATCGTTTTTGAATTTATACTTCTGTTGGTGCGTTTGGGAAAATTTATGAGATTGAGTCTTCACGATGCGCGACACCTACACGATGTTACCATGGCAACCGTAAATTCCAAGTAATTTAATTAAACCATTTACAATCGCCTTTAATTTCTCTTTTTCACAAACACAGAGATAACATTTTTAGTTATTTTCCTTTTGTTACGCTTAAAAAGTACGTATATATTTTACGTGCATACATAAGAACACAGATACGTTTTATTTTTTAATGTTCCGTTTCAATTTTTTTTTTCCAAGGAAAACGCTTTAGGCATTATCAAAACAGCGTGGAGTATGTCATATTTAAAAGAAGTAATGAATGTGAAAGTCTATTGTTCTTTTAATATTCTAGTAGTTTTAATAAAAGTCCAATGTAAAAAGTCCTCAAAGTGATACTAATTCTATTAGTCCTACAGATAATATAATTGCATTATACGAACCGATGGTGAAAGCGTTATCGGGTAATTTGATTCGCATTTATTAAATCCTCGCTCCGCTTGCATCGAGCGGAAAATATAAGTGCATTTAGAATGTTTTTGTCACACCGGAACTTTCTTTATTTATCACTAGCTGTCCGGTTCGTTCTTTTTTTTTTTCATAGTATTAAAATCTTCCGTGGACCTTAAGGAACATACAAAACAATTTATTAGCCGAATTGGTCCAGCCATTCTTGAGTTATGCGCTTACCAACGTTCATTTTTATTTATTAGCTAGGTAGCGTTTTCTTCGTTAAATTGTTTGATCGCGTGAAAATAATTTAATCGTACAAATACATATTGTCTAACTTTTTAATGAACCGTTTATTTAGGAAAAAGTAGGCATTTTTAAACTCACGATTAATGAAGTAGATCTTCGGCCCAATTTAAATTGGATAAAGAATTTGCCTATCGATAATAAGAGCCCTCAGTGTAGGCACTTGGAATTTAGAAAACGATCGGCTTAATTTACTGTAATTACAGCGAGGTAGACGGTGTTTTTTTAAATTAATTCTTATTTTTACCTTCAATTAAATAATCGAGTACTTTAGACATTGAGGACAATGACGTACTATGGCGCTGTAATTTTCTGTCAGTTAATTGAAATAAGCTGATTTTCTCTAATTACTGAACTGTTACGAATATTAAGAAGTTGCACATTTGATCATTTTCTCGATATTGATCGCAGCTTGATATAAATATCGCATTTAAAAAAAGTCCTCGTCTATACGGATTAATTTTCGTTTGTGGCGCAAGCTTCATTTTATTTCGTCAAATTTTATTGCGGTTCTATCATTTTGTAGTATGCGGACGGTACCTAATATCTATGTATGAATGGTGATATTTGTACACGTATTACTTACGTTTTCACACATTACTTATTTCTGATTTTTAAATTGAAACGCTGTCGCGAAGTGTTTTCAGAAAAGAGTTCTACCCCTCGTGTGCACGTGGCCCTTGGAAAGTTATAAGGAGGGCCCTCCGCTATCACTTGCGACCACAGTCCGCCCTCCCGCGCCGAATTCACAAGTGACCGCGTCCCTGGACTGGTAGACGTCTCGAGAAAACACATGTCAATGTCAATATCGCCTCAAATAGCCATTGCAAACGAAACACAAATTTCGCCTGTGAAAACAGATATCTGAAGTATTTTCATCGGTACCTGAAAGCCTCTAATTTTAAATTTATATTTAAATTTCACAAGTGATTAATCCTATAGAGACCGCAGTACCCCTTTGTTATATAATATAAAGGTGAATACAAAACTAAAATAAGAGACCTTTATTATTTTATATTATTATTCATTACATATTATTTTATAGTATCTTCTTTATATATTTGGAGTATAGAGTATAAGTATGTCTAGTTTTACACACCTACCTATCATAATATCATGATTTTTTTCTCATCAATCTTATGTCAGGGTTTGCTGGAAGAAAGCTCTTTTTAGGGTTAAGCTCCCCTTTGTACATTTTTTTGTAACTTTGTTTTCACTTGTACTTTGTGTACAATAAAGGATAAAAGAAAAGAAAGACCTTAATTTGGATAGAAATCCAAATGTATACATGCCCACAAAGAAAATAATTGTCATTTGACCTAAAGCTTCGTTCGGGGACGACACGATATAATAACTTCCAACAGAAATTACCTAGGTAACGTGTACGTGCTTAACACAGTTTTATAGAACGTGTGTTGAAATCTGACCGAGGAGAAGTCTTAAAATCGCTGCTCCGTGTAGCTGCGGGTAAGAACGGCGCTGGGAGGAAGCGGGCCGTCGCCACTCACGGCGCCCCCGAAGCTCTGCACGGGCCACTTAATGCGAAATACGGCGCTGCAACCGCCCTCTCACCCAAGGCATTGACACTGTTCCGCTTTTACATGCGTTCAGCTCCAGCATTACTTATTTCAGTCGCGATCACAAGCTGATGTTTATCTTCCGAGTCCTACTGAATATAAAATGGTGCAGATTTCCGTTCTACTATAATATCGAGTTTAAAATAATAGGCTTCCAATATAATGTACTCTTTTAAAGAAGCTTTAATGTGGACGTATTCAAAGGAAATTGAAACGTTGGCGCGGCTTCTCTATAATCGTGTCTTTGTTCTATTCAAATGAAAATTTGCAAAATGTTGGGTACGCTTTCAGGGATATTAGTTGCCCTCGTCTATAATAGCGAAATTAATTATGTATTGCCTCCGCAAAATTATATTTTGAAACCTTTTCCTCTAAGATTTCAATATTTAGGATGAAAGCAATACCTTCGTGATGTTCTATAAAACGTCGAATGCATATTTGACACGCTCTCTCAAAATCCCTTCAATCCCAATTGAGTGCAAGAACTTAACATGCATGAGCGCTGATACAACAAGCAGTCTTCGAATGTTAACGTAAAGCTTACATACGCGCTTTTTAACAAAAGCTCAAGAGAAAAACATCGTTTAATATTTTCTTTTCAATTTTAATTTTAACATGTTTTTTAACAATTTATGGATAACGTTTCTATTATTGTAAAAGAAAATACTTCATTAAACATCCGATATACATCCAATCTAAATCATTTTTAATCTAGACATATGCTTTGGTCGATTAGGCTTCGTTCATCGACACTAAGTTAAGTTGATTTTATTCTATTTTATAATATATATATCCGTGATCATTTCAATCAAACGTCTTATGTACTTATAACATGAACATTCCGAAGTGTTTGCACTTCTCTTCCGATTCATTCATTCTCTTCTAAATAACGGCTGCCTGCATTGTATTGGCTCTGAGTTGTTTAAATTGTTTTTTTTTTTTTTAAGTAATTTTATGAAGCCTTTAATAGGGCCTTGCCGATCCCACAGAAACTCGCATATTCGGTAACTGTTGAAATGTTTAGTGAAATAATTCCTGTACCAAGGTGATATGGCAATTAAAATCGTTTTATTGCTTTCCATATTTCGTTTTTGTATTGAGAGTTGGATGGGGGTAATTGCGTTCCTGACTTGTGTGTCTCTCATGCCAGGTGGTAAGCCTCTTGAATGTTTGCACATCGTAGAGCGAGTGTGTAAGAAGCTTACAGTTGACAATGCAATTTCCGTAATCGTGTACTAAACGAACTACGGATTATTGGAAGTTAATTCATTTATTTCAAATATTCAATTTGTTGTGGGGCTTGTTGTGGAGATTGATAGGACAAAACCACATAAGAAAACAGCTAACTGGACGATATATTACAGTTTAACACAAGTGATACGTTAATGGTGTATACCTATTTTTGGGTGTGAGAATGATTTATTTAATACTTTGACAAAGATAGTTATATGATTATCATTTTTTCAAAAAGCCTATATTTTTTTCCTTTAAAGTTATTGGAAAGAGGAATCTCGTTGTTAACCGTTTTACAGACTGCTCTGTTAACCATAGTCTTTTTTTTATTTCAACATATGTAACTTGTAATTATGGTTCCATACAAAAGAAAATCAAAATCGGTGTAATCAATTGGTACGAAACGTTAAACGCCGTCATATTCTTGATAATATCTCTTCATCTTCAACTACTGATACCTGGAAATTCCTCGGGACTCTCGGTACGTCGCAATTCTCAAACCTCCCTATTTCCATGGGATTAGATGACTTAAATATTTCGTTACCACTCCTTCAATGGATCATCTGATGGCTTGTTGCATTGCTGACGCGCCCTAATATCAATTTGCTTAAATTCCCACCAGTCTCTTCAGATGAAACCAAAAAAGCTATAGTAACATAGTTAAAATAAGCCCCATTTTAATGCCCTACTAAAACCTCGTTATGATCATTTGTAGTCGACGGTACACGCCGTCATTATAACAAAGAAAAACTTTACGCAATAATACCTTGACTTACCCCGATTTATGCGACTAGAAAAACCTGAGCCTGAAGACCGCTTTGTTAGATTTCATGAACCCATCTTATCTCAAATCAAAGTAACTTGTGTTTGCTATTTTGTATTTGTGTTATCTAAGAGCCTATTATTTCTTTTCCAAATAATTATTTTTGTATATTCTCGAGCCCCAACTAAAAATGATTTTTATGTATTTATATGCGAAATTATACACCGACATATGCGATTCAGACGGCACTAACTATAGCGTGAGTTTGAGCTATTACCGTACTTGTTACGGATCTCATAACACTGACGTGGATAAACGGTAAAAAATTACGCCATGTGCTGATATATAATGAGTAAGATAAAATAAATAAGTATATAAATGAGTACCTAAGATAAAATAGATGGGTAAAGATAATATATAAGAGTAAATATATAAAAGAATTATATAAAGAGAAAATTCAGATTTGAATAGATTTTCACGGATTAAATAAGTTTGCAACTATTTATTAGTTTTCGCAGCTGTGACTGATTCTGATACTATTTTCACGTTGCGCAATTTAATTACTTTTACATCAACCAATTTGAATATAAATGTTTGAATTGTTTCACCAATTTAAAAATGGATTTAACTGTAGCAATATGAATTTGTTCCCTTCACGTAATAATTATCCTCTTAGGTACTGATCTGAATATTATTAGTTATTCCTTTTTCACTTTTTATATCCATTTCTTATCTACTTAATGTAGTCCAAACTACTTAAAATTTACGTATTTTCATATTCATTTTAACGGTGGTAGGGCCACGCAGCAGCCTCGGCTGTTGCACGAATGGGCAGGCCCGTCCGGGTAAGTACCACGACCTCACAGAAAGACCGGCGTAAAGTGAAAGTATAATGCTTTCGCGTTTCGACTGGTGAGTGAGGTAACCGGAGCCCAATTTTCAAAAGGTTGTCAACGCATCTGCAACCCTCAGGTGTAGCAGATGTCCATGGGCGGCAGTATTCACTTAACATCGGGTGAACCGTCTGCTCGTTTGACAAATTTTCACATAAAAAAAAAATATATTGATCAGGGCTAACCAGGGCACGCCTTGTGCACTCCAACGTCACGGATCGTACTTTCGTCCGGCACAAGTATCTGGATAACTCGCACTCATACAATTACTTCGATAAGACACATTCCAGTACGATGAAATCCTCTAGTAAAAGAGTGTTATTTTTATTATTGTCGGTTATTGTTTTGCCTATTTCCTATTGGATATACTTATAAATAGTTTATTTGAGGATAATCATTTCGATGTTCAAAGGTTATGCGGTAAGAAATTACTAATAAATTTTGCTTTCATACCCGGGGCTAATGACGAATAACAGGGCTTCTCCCTAGAGACTGATTAAATCTCTCCTGTTTAGCTCTGTTACTTTATTATTTTATTATATTTGCATATTTTTGTATAGGTAAGTTCTCGAGTATGCCACTTTCCATTTTAGTCATCTATTCAGCGTTTAATATATTCAAGAAGATATCAAAGCTGTTCAAGTTGTTGTTGACTATGTATTATTCTAAGCATTGCGATTAGTAGAATTATTCTGTAAAAACACACCATGAAATCAATACAACGTCTATATGTTTATGTATAGGTACATGTTCGAAACTTGCACAATTTTACCAAACCACATGCTCTATCTGAACAATGGCTAACTCGCGCTTTGTATTCATACACTGGCATATTATCGGTATCTTATCGTATATTGTTAAATTCGTTTATCTCTCAGCGCTATCATCGATCCCGAAACGTGCGTCACCTGCGGATCTCGTATAATCATGTCCGTTGGTTAAAACTGGGAATAGTGTTGGTTCAGCGTCAACCAAACCTAAACACTGTTTTGTCTTGTGCCTACTATGCTTCGAGAACGTTCTACAAATATCACCCCAACTCGGCTCCGGTAAAAATGCACTCTGGCCAGGATAAAAAAGAATCAGAACACAACGGCCGTGCCAGGCCGGCGCGGTTAAATAAACCTGAATACGCATATTTCAATGTAAACATATCCCTTTTTACGCTATACTCCGATCAAAGTGAAAAAAACTTTTTGATGGTGACTTTTTACATATTACAAACCGATACCGTAAAAAAATGTCTATTCATCCCTGTCGGTAGTAGGTACCTTTATACTTATACCAAAGACATTCCACTATACGCCACAACTGTATGACTATTTTTTGGCCCTTATAATCGCGTAGAATCTGGATGTATCGCGAGCTCTTGATGAAGCGTTAATGTCTAGGGACTCAAAACTAGAACAGCTATGCCAATTCTATGACGATAAAGGTTAATCGTACTCTGTTGTTTATTTGCTTGCATGAATGGGCAGGCAAGCTTGGTAAGCGCTAGGCCTCAAGTTTATTTCAGTTGACTAAGTAACCCGTGCCTAAATACAATGGCAATCTCACAAGTATTGTGTATATCATATATGGCAAATATTTTCATACACATATATCGAATATATGATATTTTTTAATTTCTAAAAAATAATGTTTATTTTCCTTTGTAGGCTGGCCCTGAGATGACATGGGTGGTTGCAGAACACACGGCCACCTCGAACGGAGAATTGAGCGTGACGAAGGGCCAACAGGTCGAGGTGGTGGAGCCTTGGCAGGCGCGGAGCGACTGGTGGATCGTGCGCGCGCCCGGCGAACCACCCCAAGAGGGCGCGGTGCCGGCCTACATACTCAAGCCCCAACCCCAGCACCATCCCCAACAGAAGACGTCCCCGTCCCGCCGACCACTCAGCCAGCCATGCGATGAGGCGCTGGGTAAGTGGAAATCTCACACTCACCAATTCAATTTCCGTCTAAACACATATTGTTGATTGGATTTCTTAATTGTTCACCTATTTCATCGTTGTTGTTGCATCGTCTTTTGTGTGCCATTCTTAGTAACGTGAAATTTATTAAAATACAATTATGGTTTTGATTATTCCCTTCATTAGTGTATTAAGTGACATTACACAACAGACACGTTAGTTCAACAGTACTACAATCGGAATATCGGATGCGGTTTGTTTTTAACTCCTTACTCTATTTAATATAACTGCGAAAGAATATACAAACGGAGACTTTATGGTGGGCATCGTTTTTCTGCAAATAAACAAATAATTTGAAAAATACTACTCTACAAAAACATTCTTGTTGTTTTTTGCAACATTCAAAAGAGAATAGAATTAAGTATTTGAGTTAGTTAGGTGCGTACAGACAATGGTGTGCAGCTGAAACAACGGTTGCTCGAACAAGCCTACGCTACTCCTTGTTAATGGAGCTCGAAGCGAGTAAGAGGATTAGTTAGCATTTCGTTGGGGGCTCTCCAGTTTATTTCATGTGTTTCTGTTCAGCTAACTATGTTGCGATAACTTATGTTCAGCTCTTAAAAGAATTTGGAGACAAAGACAGAAATATTTTTTAACAACTAAAATTTTCCGCGTCGCTTGAAACACCGATCGAACATGAGATATCTTTCCTTATATTATATTATGCTCACGGCTTTTGCTCCATGTACTATTTAGATCGGACGTCGACGCATGGAAAACTAACGATAGACCTGATTAACATGTATACAATTCATACTCAAGTGTGATTATGAATAATGAACCATAACAAGAAACTAATCCTAAATCTCAGTCAGTTAAAATAATCCAGTGAGTCGTCTTTTTTTCTTTTTTTTTTTTTTTTCAAGGGGACTTGCCTAATATGCATTGAACGAGCTAATCTATATAGTGCTGCTAATTTAGCACTTTATTAGTTATGTAAACAATAATTCTCCGTCCTTTTATTAATTGCCAGTTTACATCGCAGTAGGGCCTAAAGATATTACATCTACGAGAAGGGCTAATCAATGGTTTGGCTCGTAATCGGTATGAAGTCAAAACACAAATTAGAAATAAAACATTGAATACTCGAGGCTCCAGGCCTTTGTTACGATAGATCTTAGCCTGCGTTTCATGGAACATTGAGTTAATTGCATTAATACCTTTAAGATGTATTTATTTCTCTCCATAGCTGAATATTGACGGCGCTAACAATGTTCGTTTAAAGTTGCGCACATTGTGAAGGCTTTTGCTAGTGCGGCTTACAAACTTAAAACAACTTAACGACTGGCGGGGTGGCAGACTGGGATATAACGAGATAGACTGCATTGAAAGAGCTTTGGCTGCCATTGAGTTTTGGAGGGAAGGAAACCGTTTTCAGAAGGATTGTTAGACAACTATGCGATGCGATCGCTCCTACAAGTTTGTTAACAACTAATATTCGATTTCATAGCGATGCAAAACTATGTCAATTTTCGATATCGATTGTTTTCTACGAATACTTACTACTACTACATTTCTGCAGTTTATTAGAGAACTTGTGATAGTAATCCTAGTTTCCCTGTTCCCTGCACGAACTCGCAACGTTGGCAGATTAGTTTCATATTCATAAGAGCCGTTACTATGCCATTAAGCTTAGTGTTGCTTTGAAGGCTTATTAATGACATTGATTCCCGTAGTGTTTTCATTTAACATTAATAAGAATTAGTGGGCCACTGCAGAACGCGCAGAAATTAATATATGGTAATTTCTGTATTAAATAATCATTGCGTCTTACAGAATTATTTAATATCCGTTCACGCATTAATTAAGAAACGAAAATAAACGAACACTCACATTTTTACACTTCTGCGTTTCGTCTGGTGAGTGAGGTAGCTGGTACCCACTTTTTAAAAGGTGGCAACGCTTCTACGACCCTACGGGTGTTGCAATTGTCCATGGGCGGCGGTTATCACTTAACATCAAGTGAACTGCCAGCCAACTCGTTTGCCACTTTGTCACATAAAACAAAATCACTAAACGATAAAATCCAAAAGGCCATCGTTTTGCTAATGTGGTCCGTATTCAGACAAAGGTCAGTCTCAATCAAATTATTTTTATTGAAATAAATATGCACACTGCAACACGCGTGTAGCCTCATCGTTTTGCTGAACATATATCCATGTAAACTCTATTAATTAATGCCTTGACCGGTGTTTTGATGAGAGAGCTTAATAATGATTTCTTGTGTTTACGTGATTACACATTACTAAATGAAACATAGTTTCATTTGATAGGGCTTGATGTAAGATATACTCTAAAATTAAGTCACACGTTCTAGCGTGCAATATCCGTTCACACAAATATGTACATATGCTTTGTATGGACCGTACCTAGAACGTCCCGTGCTTTAATAAACGCGCGCTGATGAAACTTGGTACCCGAATACAGTCTCCACGTTCAAACCTGCTCGCATTTCGTGAATGGGAAACACGCATATTACACACATTGATAGGCAACGTCCTTTCATCCGTGACGTATTAACTGTGTGTACAGATCTTAATTGAAGGCAAAGAGGAACGTAGTCGCTACAAACGTGTGTAGTATAATATTTTGCAATTCGAGTTTCATGTTAAATTGCAAAATCACTAACTCAAATAAAGCTCGATAAAGATCGAAGTTACAGCTCGGTGAATCTTGGAATTAAATTAAACATGTGAAAGCGTGAGTTTTGCTTATCTTTTACAATATAATACATTTATTAGGTTATATAAAACTTAAAAAAGTACAAAAATTATTGCATTGCTGAGTCTTAAAGGAAATCATAATACCATTTCAATGGAAGGTGAATCTATACATGTTGATATTTGGCTTAACATTAGGATCAAATTAATTAACGTTCAATAGCCGTGCGTATTGTCTGATTGTCTACCAACATCATAAATTAATATCTCTGAGCCTACATTAGGCTCAAAGGAACTGTTGGGATTTCCCAATATGAATTATGGGTATCTGTACATATGAAGTTGATCTATTTTGTGGAGATGCTTTAAATGTAGGGTGAGATTATTATTTATTTGTAGTCATTAATTCTTTAAGACGTCTAGGTTTTATTATTATTGTAAAGATATTAATTATATACACAGAAAGCAAAAGAAAACAATGTGATATTAATTGAAGGTATTAATAAAAAATCGGTGGTGACAAAGCGTAACCATAGTTGATGACTTGTTGGAGTACATTTACGTGACATCGCATTCAGCGCCGTCGCATTCATTAGCGGGGAACTGTTTATTCGATTACAAAATTACGTATTTAGCCAATAATGGGCCGATTGTGGGTAATCAGTCACCCTGGCCCCTGATACGGGAGCTGGGAACTGCCCCCAATTACGCCGGCTGGGCGATGGCCAGGGAGGGGCGTACAATTCACGGCCAAGCCGACCCACGCTCGGGCGCTCCACTAAGCTGTCTGACCGAACGCTCCGACGATACCTTTGCCTAGCCTAATTAATTGTGATTGACGAGATTAATATCACCCTGACGCCCTTGTTGAATAATAAGTACAATAATTTAAATTTCGATTCGTATCGTTCGACTTCGTACATATCGGTAACATTTTTATGTCTACGTGGCACATGGAGTTTTTGAAGATCCGTAGATAAACCACTTTTACCGTTTTTGAATGAATCTCCCTATGTTTTTCTTATTAGACTACTTACTATTTATATTCTACTTACTATTATATTCGATTCGAGAATGATTTAGATTCACAATTCGGTTCACTGCATTTTTTTTTTTTTCAAATTGTCGAAATTTTGCCAGTTGTCGAATTTAAGTCGTTTGTTCAGGCTAGGTACAATGGCCGTCCCGTCCCCTAGTATAGGTATATACGGTACTTATCTTTAGTGAAAAAAAGCCTAACATTAGAAGAACGATTATTGTAATTATGGATCTATACGTTTGCCGGGTGCTAATAAGACAAAAGAAGGAATGTCAACGCCACGTTGGGTGTGAGTGCGTTCCACATTATGTGCAACTAACGTATCCTACATTGCCCGAACTTGTATTATAGAACAACTTATTATTACCCAAGAGCCGTGATGGCTCAGTGTCCGGGCGCTTGCCTTTAATTCAATATACTCGAGCAACCTGAGTTCGATCCCCGGTGCCGGCACCAATGAAGTTTTTAACTTGTAAGTGCTGACTTATCACGTGCTCCGCGGCGAAGGAAAACATCGTGAGGAAACCTGCATATTTTCGAAATAATAACAAAAAATATATATTTCGAAAATATGTGAAGGCCGCCAATCCGCAGTGGGGCCGCGTGGTGCACTATGCCCTGATACCCTCTGTATAGAGGAGGCCTTTGCCCAGCAGTGGGACATGTATAGGCTGTTACTTTACTTATTATTACCCGTTGAAACTTTAAGCACTGAATTTGCAAAAAGCTGTTTAGGAATTTGCGACGACATTCAATTAATTTTAATTATATTTCAAACTTTATGTTTGAAGTTATTTGGCGGCCTATTTTATAGTTGCTTTTATAAAATTGCATTCATTGCAAAAATTCTGTACGGTACTTTTCGTAAGTTTTATACCTATTAGTTTGAATTACGATAATGAATAATGTATTGTATACAAACGATCACACTTTACTCACTAGCGTTAATGTACGCTGTAAACGGTTCAAAAGGCCGGTATCTAGAATAAAATCTAGAAAAAATAAACGTGAGAAATCCGTTAAAATAGTTTAATTTAGTTACGATACTAAACTTATATAATGTGGAATTTCTTGGACCTTCTTAACTATTTTATCAAACAATTGAAAATGATACTCCTATTTTCTTCTATTGTCAGTTCGTCATCTAATCGGTTCAAGAATAATTGGCTTCCATATACACTTTATATTTCATTGAAAGTAGCTTGAATAAAGTTTTTTCTCTGATTTTAATCTAGCTATTTAAAAAGTGGCTAAATGTGAAACATACTAAATTATTCTATGTTTGGTTCTTCGTTAAGTCCCTTCCTTCGGGCTCTCGAGAAAAAGCAATTTACATTTTAAACCTTTTGAGTTTTTTAAGCTAGATTGTGTTTACTGTGCATAGCGGACTCCCCTTTAAGCTATCACTATATGCACCTATCTCATTCGGATGCACAAATATGTGAGATCGAAACAACTTGAACGTGTAACCTTTGTAAGTAATATTTGCTGAACAAACATTCTATCTCGTGCGAGTATTAACAAGCTAATTGGAGAGGTATTAAATAAATCATGTTCTACGAATATAAATCGGTATCAGAACCGGTCCAATTCGTGTGAATCACATGAATTACATACAAATACAAAATCATGCTGACACATTATTCTGCTGTTTAACAGCTGTCACAATTTTCCAGCTTAAAGCTTCCGGCTTCAGGCTCTTTCAAGTGGACTTTAATGTAGTGTAAACATGTTTGTTTTCCAAATAAGGGTAAAAAAATGTCCCGCTGAGTTTCTGCATTTTTTTTTTCACTAAATATTTTGGATCCAATCATTGGACATAGTTTCAATTCGAATAAATAAAAGAATAATTATCTAATTGCAACTCTGTAGTTTTAACCTAATCTTTCGCCTTCACTTCGCAAATTAAATTGTTCCATACATTTCTTTGAATCCTTCTTTGATCACGTCACGCTGCCTTCATTCATTTAGGAAACGCGGTTTCTTTGCGATGTGTTCGTTAGTTTCTGTGAGATATCAAAACTGTCCGAGCGCTGTCAGAATTTTATGTAAGCAAATTTTAATTGAAAACTACTATATTTTAAATTTATGAACTTACTAATCTATAAGATTAGGCCATATCAGTTTATTCCATAGTGTGCGTATTTATATCAGGATCAACTAGATTGGCCTGGCCTAAACTGGTTTATCCCATCCGGCTTGGGCTAATTTAGTTTGGACTAGGCTAAACTAGTTACTCCTATCGCGTATAGGAAGAACTAGTTTAGCCTAGGTAAAACTAGTTTGTCCTGAAATCGGGTTTGGCCGGTAACACATACCTATATAGATAATTATATTTGACTTGAAAACTTTGGTCAGTCTATAACGTGTATACAGCGTGTCTTTACAATCGCGACAATAAATGAACACAAATGTAGCGGATAACTTTTTAAAATTGTATCAAACATTTACATTCTTTAAACCTCAATTTTTACCGAGTAATTAAATTTTCCAAAACAAAGAATTTTAGAACATCCTTACGTATAAAACTGTAACGTAAAGTTCATGTGTAAAGGTCACAGAGCATATGAATGGGTTGAATGAATTTAAAAGAGACAAAATATACTGTTAGAAGGAGAGGCTTGTAATGCGGCGCTGTGGGAACGAATGAAAAAGGCTCTGAATGTATGAATCAGTCAGTTGTAGTTCTATAGGATGTTACAAATTTTGTTTCTTTTTACTTAATTAGTTTGTTTGAAAAATATATTTTTTTAATTATGAATTTTGTTTATTGGCAAGTAAGTAGCGTTAGTCGTGTGTTTATTTATTGTCGTGATAGCAACGACATGCTGTATACTTGACAACCGAAGTAAATGGTTGCGAAAGGTATTTTCCTGTTCAAAAGCAAAGTAAAAATAAACATTTTACCAGTTAAAAATTCTTAATGGAAAAAGTAAATGTGAAACCTATATAAGTTAAATTTACGTCGTTATTGTGAAAGTTGTTTGAAACCCTTGGCTTCTTCAGAAGTTTCGTGAATGGGTCGAAAGTATTGTACTAATGTACACTCTCCGTAAATTTTATTTTGGATCGACTTGCTACATAAATTTTATTTCCTTTTCAAAAGTTTTTGTGAAGTACACGTGATGTCTTGAAATCGATTGCGTGCTTTTGTTTCCTCTCCGACTCTGGTAGCAGAGTTAAGCTAATTGCGTCCATTTACTCCTTAATTGATTTAATATATAAATGTAATGTAATTTTTGAAAAAAAAAATCAGTCTTTGTTTTCTATATCACTTTTGAAATTTTCACAAAGCTCGTGTTTATTAGAACTGTTACCATTCTATTTTATGTGTTTGGCCAGGAGGCCTTCTCCTCGCATGTTTAATACCGTTTAGACCAAAAATTGCGGTATTAACCTAACGACTATCGGCCGATATATCTAAACGTTGGCCACAAGTCCACGAGGTGGGACAAAACCGGTCGTAGAGAAATCTTTTAGTATCGTGGCTCTGATAGTTAGTCCCTTAGGACATGAACAGGGAGATTAGTAAAATTGAAAGATAAGATCACTAAGGGTTGAGTATAAATGTGAATTTTTAGAGGTATTATTAGTAGAAACTTAATTATTTTCATCGACACTGAACCTGGTATACGTTCTGAGCGGGATATGTGAGGGAACGTACTTAAAATATAATCGGGTGATAGTCGCCACGCACGTAGGGGCGACTTTAGCACCCGGCACCCAGCGGCCAGCGCGCCGTATACGCGCATCGCATTGTAAACAGCGCCTTTATCGACGACTAGTAATTTATAAAATACCTTTTGAAGCCGGCAGCACGACAAGAATTGATTTATTTAATAAACTTTAATTATATTTTGTTTATTTATTATACCGAAAAGCGTGCCAGGTGATATCGATATTATTCTCCGCTTTAGTCAGTAGCATTATTATTGTCCTATAAGGAGTGGAATAGAGATGTTGTATTCTTCCCATCGCAACACGCATTTTATGAAATCATTTTATATATATAAATATGTGTAAAATGAATTCATGTACCTTTAGTGTGCTCTTGAATTTCATACCTTTTTAATATTACTCTTTCTATGTAATTACTTTTTCGTTTGCATTAACTTCGACGCCTGAAACCACTAGTTCTGAATACGTTTACTTTGATAGTAATATTGTAGATGGCTTCACCTACCGCCACTTGTGCGATGACCTGTTTTGATCTGTCCCAGTGCATTCGCATTTGCTCAGTCAGGCGGCTGGGCGATCCGCAGCGAGGGAGTTGAGCTAGGAGTAGGCGAGGCTCGTCTCGCTTAAGGTAGATACCATCTAGTTTAGCGCATCGCTCTTACCATCTCGGGAACACATCTGCTAAGTATAGCCAGCGCTGCTCTGCGCTCATACTGGCTTGAGGCCGCCACTTTGTCTCATATAAATTACTCATATTTACCATTCACACGGTGGATGTATGTGACGCCCCTAAACCCTAAAAGTAAAGAACAGCCTATATATATCCCACTGACCCCACCACACCAGGTGACCCCACTGCGGATTGGCGGACTTCATATACCCTCGAATTATTCTTTTTTTATTATTGTTACGAAAATATACAGGTATCCTCACGATGCTTTCTTTCACCAATAAACATATGATAAATCAGCACTGAAAATTAACAATTTCATTGATGCACAGGGATCGAAATCTGGTTGCTCGAGTATCTTGAATTAAACACCCTAAAAATGAGCTATCGGTATATGTAAAAGAATTAAAACCTTGAATCAGTGCAAATG